AGGTGGTAATGCAGTATGTAGTACAGGTGGTGATGCAATATGTAGTACAGGTGGTGATGCAGTATGTAGTACAGGTGGTGATGCAGTATGTAATTCAGGTGGTAATGCAGTATGTAGTACAGGTGGTGATGCAGTATGTAGTACAGGTGGTGATGCAGTATGTAATTCAGGTGGTAATGCAGTATGTAGTACAGGTGGTGATGCAATATGTAGTACAGGTGGTCATGCAGTATGTAGTACAGGTGGTGATGCAGTATGTAATTCAGGTGGTAATGCAGTATGTAGTACAGGTGGTGATGCAGTATGTAGTACAGGTGGTAATGCAGTATGTAGTACAGGTGGTAATGCAGTATGTAATTCAGGTGGTAATGCAGTATGTAATTCAGGTGGTGATGCAGTATGTAGTACAGGTGGTAATGCAGTATGTAATTCAGGTGGTGATGCAGTATGTAGTACAGGTGGTGATGCAGTATATAGTACAGGTGGTAATGCAGTATGTAGTACAGGTGGTAATGCAGTATGTAATTCAGGTGGTGATGCAGTATGTAGTACAGGTGGTAATGCAGTATGTAATTCAGGTGGTGATGCAGTATGTAGTACAGGTGGTGATGCAGTATATAGTACAGGTGGTAATGCAGTATGTAGTCAGGTGGTGATGCTGTATGTAGTACAGGTGGTGATGCAATATGTAGTACAGGTGGTGATGCAGTATGTAGTGCAGGTGGTGATGCAGTATATAGTACAGGTGGTAATGCGGTAAGTTATTCAGGTGGTAATGCAGTATGTAGTACAGGTGGTGATGTAGTATGTAGTACATGTGGTAATACAGTATGAAGTACAGGTGGTGATGCAGTATGTCATACAGGTGATAATGCAGTATGTAGTACAGATGGTGATGCAATATGTAGTACAGGTGGTGATGCAATATGTGGTTCAGATGGTGATGCAATATGTAGTACAGGTGGTGATGCAATTTGAAGTAGATATGATAATGCAGTATGTAGTACAGGTGATAATGCAGTATGTAGTACATGTCGTAATGCAGTATGTAGTACATGTCGTAATGCAGTATGCAGTACAGGTGGTGATGCAGTATGTAGTACAGGTGGTAATGCAGTATGTAGTACTGGTGGTGATGCAGTATGTAGTACAGGTCCTAATGCAGTATGTAGTACAGGTGGTAATGCAGTATGTAGTACAGGTGGTAATGCAGTATGTAATTCAGGTGACGATGCAGTATGTAGTACAGGTGGTGATGCAATTTGAAGTACATATGACAATGCAGTATGTAGTACAGACGGTGATGCAATATGTAGTACAGGTGGTGATGCAATATGTGGTTCAGATGGTGATGCAATATGTAGTACAGATGGTGATGCAATATGTAATACAGGTGGTGATGCAGTATGTAGTACAGGTGGTAATGCAGTATGTATTTCAGGTGGTGATGCAGTATGTAGTACAGGTGGTGATGCAGTATGTAGTACAGGTGGTAATGCAGTATGTAGTATAGATGGTGATGCAGTATGTAGTACAGGTGGTGATGCAGTATGTAATTCAGGTGGTTATGCAGTATGTAGTACAGGTGATAATGCAGTATGTAGTACAGGTGGTGATGCAGTATGTAGTACAGGTGGTAATGCAGTATGTAGTACTGGTGGTGATGCAGTATGTAGTACAGGTCCTAATGCAGTATGTAGTACAGGTGGTAATGCAGTATGTAGTACAGGTGGTAATGCAGTATGTAGTCAGGTGGTGATGCTGTATGTAGTAGATGTCGTAATGCAGTATGTAGTATAGGTGGTAATGCAGTATGTAATTCAGGTGGTGATGCAGTATGTAGTACAGGTGGTGATGCAATATGTGGTTCAGATGGTGATGCAATATGTAGTACAGATGGTGATGCAATATGTAGTACAGGTGGTGATGCAATATGTAGTAGAGGTGGTGATGCAATATGTAGTACAGATGGTGATGCAATATGTAATCCAGATGGTGATGCAATATGTAGTATAGGCGGTGATGCAATATGTGGTTCAGATGGTGGTGCAATATGTAGTACATGTGGTAATGCAGTATGTAGTACAGGTGATAATGCAATATGAAGTCAGAGCTCCAGATAAGCTGCGTATCTGCGTGAAATACGCATCAGAAAAGCAGAAATACGCAGTAAAGTAAAATCCAAGCGTATCAAATACGCATCGAACATTACAGATACGCTACAAAAAAAAACTTGTGCGTATCATCACAATATTGTGAAGTAACCCTGCGTATTCGATTAGCAAATCAGCAACTTATTTTGAAATTATAAACGGGCATTCCGTCAACCTTGCCAAACTCCACGATGACAGTTACATCATGATAATTTGCCATCACACTTTCTTGTGGAAGTATCGTGGTATATTTGAGTCCTATAAAGCTCTCGAACCCACACGACACCAGTTTGCAGGAACTAGATGAATAGTGTTTTTAAATATTTAACTTAAATACCCACATATGTAAAAACTAGTGGGTAACAGAAATTTGAATACCCAGATATAATTACTGATACCAAATAATTTTAAAATGCATGGGTAAAATACCCACAACACCAAAAGCTTATTATTATCTGGAGCTCTGTGAAGTACAGGTGGTAATGCAATATGTAGTACATTTGATAATGCAGTATGTAGTACATTTGATAAAGCAGTATGTAGTACAGGTGGTAATGCAGCATGTAGTACAGGTGGTGATGCAGTATGTAGTACAGGTGGTAATGCAATATGAAGTACATATGATAATGCAGTATGTAGTACAGTTGGTGATGCAGTATGTAGTACAGGTGGTGATGCAGTATGTAGTACAGGTGATAATGCAGTATGTAGTACAGGTGGTAATGCAGTATGTAGTACAGGTGGTGATGCAGTATGTAGTGTAGGTGGTGATGCAGTATGTATTTCAGGTGGTGATGCAGTATGTAGTGTAGGTGGTAATGCAGTATGTAGTACAGGTGATAATGCAGTATGTAGTACAGGTGGTGATGCAGTATGTAGTGTAGGTGGTGATGCAGTATGTATTTCAGGTGGTGATGCAGTATGTAGTGTAGGTGGTGATGCAGTATGTAGTACAGGTGATAATGCAGTATGTAGTACAGGTGGTAATGCAGTATGTAGTACAGGTGGTGATGCAGTATGTAGTACAGGTGGTGATGCAGTATGTAGTACAGGTGGTAATGCAGTATGTAGTACAGGTGGTGATGCAGTATGTAGTGTAGGTGGTGATGCAGTATGTATTTCAGGTGGTGATGCAGTATGTAGTGTAGGTGGTGATGCAGTATGTAGTACAGGTGATAATGCAGTATGTAGTACAAGTGGTAATGCAGTATGTAGTACAGGTGGTGATGCAGTATGTAGTACAGGTGGTGATGCAGTATGTAGTACAGGTGGTAATGCAGTATGTAGTACAGGTGGTGATGCAGTATGTAGTGTAGGTGGTGAAGCAGTATGTATTTCAGGTTGTGATGCAGTATGTAGTGTAGGTGGTGATGCAGTATGTAGTACAGGTGATAATGCAGTATGTAGTACAGGTGGTAATGCAGTATGTAGTACAGGTGGTGATGCAGTATGTAGTGTAGGTGGTGATGCAGTATGTATTTCAGGTGGTGATGCAGTATGTAGTACAGGTGGTAATGCAGTATGTAGTACAGGTGGTGATGCAGTATGTAGTGTAGGTGGTGATGCAGTATGTAGTACAGGTGGTAATGCAGTATGTAGTACATTTGATAATGCAGTATGTAGTACAGGTGGTGATGCAGTATGTAGTGTAGGTGGTGATGCAGTATGTAGTACAGGTGATAATGCAGTATGTAGTACAGGTGATAATGCAGTATGTAGTACAGGTGGTGATGCAGTATGTAGTGTAGGTGGTGATGCAGTATGTATTTCAGGTGGTGATGCAGTATGTAGTGTAGGTGGTGATGCAGTATGTAGTACAGGTGATAATGCAGTATGTAGTACAGGTGATAATGCAGTATGTAGTACAGGTGGTGATGCAGTATGTAGTGTAGGTGGTGATGCAGTATGTATTTCAGGTGGTGATGCAGTATGTAGTACAGGTGGTAATGCAGTATGTAGTACAGGTGGTGATGCAGTATGTAGTGTAGGTGGTGATGCAGTATGTAGTACAGATGGTAATGCAGTATGTAGTACATTTGATAATGCAGTATGTAGTACAGGTGGTGATGCAGTATGTATTTCAGGTGGTGATGCAGTATGTAGTGTGGGTGGTAATGCAGTATGTAGTACATTTGATAATGCAGTATGTAGTACAGGTGGTGATGCAATATGTAATACAGGTGGTGATGCAGTATGTAGTACAGGTGGTGATGCAGTATGTATTTCAGGTGGTGATGCAGTATGTAGTGTAGGTGGTGATGCAGTATGTAGTACAGGTGATAATGCAGTATGTAGTACAGGTGATAATGCAGTATGTAGTACAGGTGGTGATGCAGTATGTAGTGTAGGTGGTGATGCAGTATGTATTTCAGGTGGTGATGCAGTATGTAGTGTAGGTGGTGATGCAGTATGTAGTACAGGTGATAATGCAGTATGTAGTACAGGTGGTAATGCAGTATGTAGTACAGGTGGTGATGCAGTATGTAGTGTAGGTGGTGATGCAGTATGTATTTCAGGTGGTGATGCAGTATGTAGTACAGGTGGTAATGCAGTATGTAGTACAGGTGGTGATGCAGTATGTAGTACAGGTGGTAATGCAGTATGTAGTACATTTGATAATGCAGTTTGAAGTACATATGATAATGCAGTATTTAGTACAGGTGGTAATGCAATATGAAGTACATATGATAATGCAGTATGTAGTACAGGTGGTAATGCAATATGAAGTACATTTGATTATGCAGTATGAAATACATATGATAATGCAGTATGTAGTACAGGTGGTTATGCAATATGTAAAACAGATGGTAATGCAATATACAGCGCAGGTGGTAATGCAATATCTACCTCTGCCCCCCAGTAAGTGGTCCGTCAGGAAGGAATGGGGGCGACTTGAAAAGACGTCAGCATGTTTCACGAGAGCATCTTTCAGGGTGTTGTAGCCGTTGAGGACAATGACGGGCTTGTTGAAAATGTAGATGCTGTAAATGTCCCCGTATTTCCGTCTCAGTTTCCTGAAAGTCATTCGGGGGTCTGTATCCAATGAGAGCAGGTTCCCCAGGAGGGGGAGGAGGGGCGGTCCAGGCGGGAGTGTCGGGGGGCGCCGGGTCCACCACCACAACCATAACCCCCCGGCTGTGAACACAAGTAACGCCATGGGACTCGCTGTTAACAGGAACAACATCACAGCAATTCATGAACTTCTACGCTAGCTTGCCCATGCAGACAGGGTGAACAAAAAACGAACACAACAGACTTATATGTGACTTTTTTGTTTTAATATTGATTGGGCCTTTTTGACAACATTCCAACGGCTATCTCAGGCATAGTCCAAACAGTGGTGTCCCAGTTTCCAGTTCAACAAACACAACTACGTGCCAGCTTTGTTGGTACCCATGTTAAGAAAGAAAATGGGGGACTGTCGGCTTCCCTAGATTGCTCGTTATAAGTATCCATAGAAACAAACATATTTATTAAACGTTTTTCTTTACTTATAAGCTGCAGAAGCTCTTCTTGCATTTGCACACAGCAGAAGAAAAAATCAACATACCCTTTTCAACAAATGCAGTAAATGTGCAATAATGAGACTGGATTACTGGTCCATTTCTTTATTGTCTGGTTTGTTTACGCATGGTACGTGTACTGCAGTGCTATGTCAGGCAACACATATATTTTAATGCTAATTGGGGTTCTGCCGGTAGGGCAGGACATCCTTACCCTCATCGCCGCACTCAGCAGTATTCCAGCTATATGATCGCGGATTGTAAAGTATCGAGTTTGGAACAGACAGTCCAGTGATTGACATCATGAGCATTGGAATTCGATGGCATGCATCAGTCCAGTTTGAGTAGTAAAATCTAGAGCTTCTGTCGATGTGCCGATACCTCACTTGATGGCAGTGATCGATATTCAGAGCAACGATTCACGCTGTCGGGGTACGGCGACACGCAATCAACCAAGTCCACAAGTCTGACCATCCGATCCATTCAGTCGCCTCTTACAACCAGCGTAGGTTGCTGGGAACGTTTCTAATCCGGATTTCCCACGGGTTTTAATTCACAATAGAATATGAATGACCAGTCACTGCAAAGATCACCGAACAGGAATTATTCTTTTACCAGAGGATCCAGGGAATAGCTTGTAGATTTTGGTTAGAACGCCCATTTAGTATTAAACAATCACCAGAACAAACGATTTAACCTCTCACAAAAATGACATAATGTATGTCAAACATGCTCGCTGAATGCATGACTCTAGGTCACCTTAATAGCCAGCCCTATGGTGAGAGAATGTCCCAAAGACATGTAAATACATCAAAACGAGTTATGAAATGGAATATCATTTAAAATGCCGTAGTACATAAAAACTTTATATTATAACTAGACACACTGCTGACATGCTCTTATTTCGGGGTTTGCTTAAGCTTCATGGATGAGATAGGTTCATTTGTCCTGGGAAACCTGCCAATGACATCTCTCAATGCCCGATTATCAAACTGTCAAGCTTGTCCTTCTTCTTGGGTTTTGGGATGCCCCCTCTGTTGTTTTTAACTGCAGGTATACACGCTTATCAGTGGAGAAAATACGGAATAAAGTCCTTCGAGACATGTTAGTGGCATGCAATGTTATCTCTGTGAAACAACGAAGAAATGTTACGGGTGTTGCTCTTTTAAAATCCAATTAAAAAAAGGAATAATATCAAGACATAGCTCCATGTTACACAAGATTTCTCGCCTATAGCGATACTGTTGGTACAACCAAAGGCCTTTGTGTCATTGCATAAATATTTCTAGATCTATTAATATCACGAGTGTCAGAAATGCTCTATCCTATTATACCTTTACACAAGGCCAGACACTCCCGACAGCACCGCTCGTCTTGTATTGCTATTTCGAAAGTCAAATCGTAAATCATGCACACACACTTCATATCTATCTTGTCTAGGGTGATTATTCTATCAATTTCAATACATGCCACCTCTCAATGCTTTATTTCCATGACATAATACCGACCGAAAGCCCTTTACCCGAACTTTGAAGCCAACTGGGCACAAATGGCCGATGCCAGACCCGTGCAGAATGTGTGTGTGTGTGTGTGTGTGCGTGTGTGTGTGTGTCGGAAAGCAGCTTTCTGATTATCAATATTTTTAGCTGTGGGGGAAAACACTCCAACCACGGGAACAGTAAACAGATATAAAGAGCTGCTTTCCAACCCACACCGATTCTGTGCGGGTCTGATGTCGGCCATTTGTGCCGAGCCGTCAGTTCCAAATTACAGTAAGAGGTATCCCTCTAACCAGGGGGACTACATAAAATTTCAAAACACAGTAGGTTTGTCTCCTTATTCACCTCATTCTGTAATACATGATGATAAAGTAAAGGGTCCTTACAAACTTTACAGCCACCTTTACCTCTGCAATAGATGAACAACCCTCCGCCGTAATGCATGTGAATCTTTTTACCATGATGGACGTATCAGCAACAGGGTGGTAGGTTGTGGAAGTACATATGTTTTGTTTGTTTGTTTGTTGTTTAACGCCGCACTCTGCAATAATCGAGTCTGGACCAGACATTCCAGTGAATGACATCATGAGCTTCGATCCACGAAATTGGGATAGATGACATGTATCAACCAAGTCAGCGAGCCTGACCATCCGTTCCCGTTAGTCGCTTCTTACGACAAACATAGTCGCCTTTTACGGCAAGCATGGGTTGCTGAAGACCTATTCTACCCCGGATCTTCACGGGAAGTATATATGTATACTTATCATAGTGGCTACAGTGTTAGGATTACTAGTAGAGGGAGGGATTTAGCGAAGATTCATCTAATACTTCTGAGGTATTTTAACATAGTATTTTATAAACTAATATCAAATTAAACCCCTGTTGCTCTTTATGAAGCCTGTTATTCACTGAAATACAAAGCACCTTTGCGAAGCTATAACATTTATAACATAACTTTATTAACATGTATTATGAAATTATTAATTCTGATTTAGATTGTTTTCGTGACATTTGCTGCAGACGTGTATCCGCAGGTCCGATAAACACCCGAGAAGGGTGGTAGGCTGGGAACGTTTCTTACCACACCTGCCTGGAGACATGGGCATGCCTACAGTCCAAATAATTATTTATAGTTAATGCGTGAAACATCATGCTATAGTTAAGTATCATGGGCCGTGATCTGTTGCTGAATACATTGTCTGTCTATATTTGATTAAAACAATTACTTCCACCTTGCACAATAACATGATTGAAGCCGTTTAGCATCCTAACTTTGTAGTGCTCGTGGTTCCACTTTGCATAATAATATGATTACAGCCGTTTAGCATCCTAACTTTGTAGTGCTTGTGGTTATCAATACATTCATATATGTCTATTACCGCCGTCACACCCTGTGCTATAACCGAAACACATAATATGATTATATTTGTTAAAACAATTTTTGTTTCATGAATGAACCTGTAAGCTATATGTAATGGTGTCTGAGGCATGCACTATACATTAGATAGATTAGAGATTAGATATTATTATTATGATATTTTTCCCTCTCGATTCAGCAACACCATGGCCACGGAAAGCACAGATGTTCTGTGTTGTCGCCAGCTTGACATGGGAGAGACACATGACTTGTCCATGTCTACAGAATCCCCCACAGCTGCTAAGCCCGCTGAAGGGTCTTCCTCTGATTCCACACATATAGCATCCAGCTTAAGGACACATTCCAGCATGGATTTATCTCCAGACATCTTCCATCGAAGCTGTATACACAATCCGCTCCGTGACTGTAACAGCTCAGCCTCTCGCAGCTTCACCGTGGTCAGCTACAACATCCTTGCGGAGTGTCACAAGAAGCTGGGTGACTACCACCTGTACACAGAGGAGAAGTTCCTCACGCAGGAGTTCCGCCATCAGCTGTTGCTGCAGGAGCTGCTCTACCTGGACGCTGATGTCATCTGCCTGCAAGAGGTAAATCCCAGCTACTACAACAAGCATCTACATCCAGCTCTGCTCAAGTAAGTGGGTCTGTGTGATTAGGGATAAAAGTCTCTAATTTGGGATAACATTTAAATACAAAATATTGAATCAACCTGGGTGTCTGGATGGGTCATCCTAGTTAACTGTATATGCAATATACACACCTGTTTGCGCATATGACGGTCAGGCTACAAATACCGGTTGTAAGGTGATACTGATGTATACTGGAGCTTACGTGTTCTGGATATTGCAGTTTTGTGTTCACTATAAACGTGATGCATATCAGGCTTTACTGAATTTAAGGTCGGGGGAAGTTGAGAGAGTGGGTGTGGTGAACCAGCTGCATTGAAATCAATAGAAAAGGCAAGTATTGTAGTATCGTATTTATAAAATGGAAAGGGCCAGTATTGAAGTATCCTATTTGATCAAATATATCTTTGACAGTTTGATTTACAAGTGTTAATTGACCACCCATCCAGCAGACCATTGTCAAGAAAATATAGTTTGTGGGCTCAAGTTGACAGAGATCTGTAAACAGTGTTTAGAGACACGAAGCAGCATGTAGACAGTGTTTGAGGCTCAAAGCTGACATGGGTCTGTAGATAGTGTTTGAGGCTCAAAGCTGACAGGGGTCTGTAGATAGTGTTTGAGGCTCAAAGCTTACAGGGGTCTGTAGACAGTGTTTGAGGCTCAAAGCTGACAGGGGTCTGTAGACAGTGTTTGAGGCTCAAAGCTGACAGGGGTCTGTAGATAGTGTTTGAGGCTCAAAGCTGACAGGGGTCTGTAGATAGTGTTTTAGGCTCAAAGCTGACAGGGGTCTGTGGACAGTGTTTGAGGCTCAAAGCTGACATGGATCTATGGACAGTGATTGAGGCTCAAAGCTTACAGGGGTCTGTAGACAGTGTTTGAGGCTCAAAGCTGACATGGATCTGTAGATAGTGTTTGAGGCTCAAAGCTTACAGGGGTCTGTAGACAGTGTTTGAGGCTCAAAGCTGACAGGGGTCTGTAGATAGTGTTTGAGGCTCAAAGCTTACAGGGGTCTGTAGATAGTGTTTGAGGCTCAAACTCAAAGCTGACATGGGTCTGTAGACAGTGTTTGAGGCTCAAAGCCGACAGGGGTCTGTAGATAGTGTTTGAGGCTCAAAGCTGACAGGGGTCTGTAGATAGTGTTTGAGGCTCAAAGCTGACAGGGGTCTGTAGATAGTGTTTGAGGCTCAAAGCTGTCAGGGGTCTGTAGATAGTGTATGAGGCTCAAACTCAAAGCTGACATGGGTCTGTAGACAGTGTTTGAGGCTCAAAGCCGACAGGGGTCTGTAGATAGTGTATGAGGCTCAAACTCAAAGCTGACATGGGTCTGTAGACAGTGTTTGAGGCTCAAAGCCGACAGGGGTCTGTAGAACGTATGTAGAGGCAAAGAGTTGACAAGGGCCTGTTGCCAACATGTAGAGAGGCAGGAAAAGGTCTGCTAAGGCAAAAACACATCATATTATACTTTTCCAGACATGGATATCAAGGAGTCTTTATCAAGAGGACACAGGACTTCTTCGATGAAGGTGAAGCAACATTTTTCAGAACAAAACGATTTTCACTGGAATGCCATAAAGGAATCCCTCTGACAGCAGATCTAATAACGGCAAGTGTGGCATTATATGTCTGTTATATAGACATACTTCACGTGTTTCTAACCAGCGGAGTTCCATTACAGTGAAATGGTGTTCAGTAATGTAGGAACTCAAGTTGTCATGTCAATGACCTGCAATTATATCGTGATTAGTATCAATGTCAGTCAATCAAATAGGTGTTATCGATTAAATATTACTTACTTTAAGTGGAGGTTATGTATTTGATACTTAAAAGTAGATACGTTATCCACATTGAACACATTTCCTTATTAAACCTTTGTGAATGTTGAGTGAGTGACTTGGACTTTACGCCTCTTTTAGCAATATTCCAGCAATATCAAGGTTTTTATTCTTTCACAGTGCAGATTGAAACATGTCGGCAAGATAAATTCGTTGCAGCCGTGCCACTCGTGGTTATTGTGGTTTTATGCGTCCCGCGTTAAATTCTATACAAGCCTCCGGCTAACCTAACGCGGGAAGCATATACAACTTCTATTAATTCAATGGCTTGAAAAAAGTGAATGGAACTATTTCCCAGGGCTTTGATTGCCGGTGGCATCGTTAAATATGTTCCCTGTGCCTGAAGAGCACACTTAGAAATGTTTACAAATAAATGAGACAAACACATAGAAAATGATGAACAATTGGGTGAAAAATGGACAATACTTTTGTTTTAATCTAACCATGGTAAAGTGACATCATCAAGTATTATGATGGTTACGAAGTGTTCTTCTCGTGGCACACTTTTATCCCAAAGGGCAAACCTAACTTGCCTTAATATGTCTGTGAGTGCCCTATGGCACACTTGAAACAACATAATTTATACCCTGTTTCCAATCAACACACTAGCGTCAGTTGTTATTAATGAGAACTTATGATAATAATGATCAAGATATTTCGATTTTGATCAATTGTTTTTCTTTGTCAATAAGATGACCAAACAAGTAAAAAGTGATACTCCTCTCCTTTCCTACTCAAATTGTCAAACTGTTGTCTTCAAAATCAATGATGCTATTCTTCAAGAGCGATACAACACATGCATGATCAAAATGTTGTAACAAATTACTCCTATAAAATCAATATGATTAAACTTTTGAATTTTCAGTGAAACCTCTTCAGTTCAGACCCTGCTAATACTTTGTTTATAAACTCGGATATCTGTTAATCTGGACATTTGTTAGTCCAGGTGATTTAACGGTGAACGCTGGTCTTGATTCAGAGGGTTCTACTGTATATCGTTTTTGCCAGATTCTTTTCCATTTCTGGTTCTGAACCAAAGTGAAAGAAGATTAATTTCATTTTTTGTGAACATCCTTTAAACTGAACAAGACCTTTTCAAAACTTATTTGAATATCCCTTTGCACTGATATCACATTTAACAAAAAATCATTTGTTACCTACATAAAACTGTTGATAAAGGTTAGTCACTTCTAAAGATACACCTTGTCACGCCATGATATATCTATTATTTATTCAGTTATGTTTTTCAAAGTGAGTGAACATACCAAGAATGCCGATTATATTCTAAATGTAAACATTTATTGACTCGGAGGTCTGAAATATTTCTCAGTGCATGTAGATCGTAAACTTATGGCCATAATCTTGGCATCAACATCTTGACAAAGTAAGTAGGTAAATAAGTATATACATACATAGTAGAAAGATGAGATGATTCTGCAAAATTTATCGACATCTATAAATGCCTCATTGATGTCTGGCCGGGGGCGGTCGGGTAGCCTAGTGGTTAAAGCGTTCGCTCGTCACGCCGAAGACCCGGGTTCGATTCCCGACATGGGTACAAAGTGTGAAACCCATTTCTGGTGTCCCCCGCCGTGATATTGCTGGAATATTGCTAAAAGAGGCGTAAAACCATACTCACTCACTCACTCATTGATGTCTGGCCACAGAAGGTGGAAGGCGCAGAACAGGACACGTTTCTCTGGGACGCTGTTAAGAAATACCTGGACCGCTCCGACGTCATCAGCGTATGCACGCTTCGCTGTAGCAACACCGACAAGAAGCTGACTGTAGGCAATGTACACGTCACATGGGATGACCTGAGGTGTCAAGATGTGCAGGCGTTACAGGTTGGAGTTCCTTGTTTGAATGTCATGCTGCTCACTGATAGCTATCCCAGCTAGCACACCTACGTCGGGCCGACGTTGGCTTTGCATCGGCAACCGCCGGCAATATCGGCATCGGCAAACTGCAGCGGTCCGCTGTCAGGCCAATGCTGGTGATTGGCACTGACATTGAACCTGATATATGATTTGATCTTGTTATGATAACATAAAAGAAAAAAACACATTTGTCGATTACAATGTGACAAATAATAGATCAAGTATATTTACGAATAATACAATAATTCTATTCGAACTCAAAATATTAACTTTATTTTTAAATTTTAAATTAAATAGATCAAGCACATTCACTGACCATTTTGGCTGCACATATACAACAGACAGAGAAGATACAGACGGGATTCGTCACATCTTACAATTCATTCAGCAAATTACATGATATTGGCAAAAGTTTGGAATATCGCGAGCGGTTATGTTACGTTGATCCAACGTTTTCACAACATGTTTCCAAGGGAAGCTACTCTTGTTATAGAGGGCGCTGTTACTCACGCGCGTCTTTTCAAGCAGACGACGAAAGGATGATGCGTGGAGGGCTGAGGGAAAACCTATTTTGCGGTAAGTGTTTACTTCATTACTGTATTTACGAGGTGTTTATTTCATTTTCAAACCTTACAATTGAAACGAGAAACAGTGTACATTTATAAGTGTCAACGTGAAGGGAGAAATCTAGGCCTATGTGTTTTGGAGGTTCGAGAAACACACTCCTGTCAATTCTACGTCAGTGTCAAAATCCGTGGAATATGTCGTGACACTGCATCCTCACCAGATTCTCTATTTGTAATTTTTAAACACCATATACATATTTCTAGCAAAACGCGGGGACAAGGGCAAATACAAAACATGACAAGATATGTTTTATGTCCATGTAGATTCAGCGATGTTCAACCAACGAGTCGCAATCTCGGGGTGAGAGTATTACAGCGGCAAGCAAATGAATAGCCAAACTTTTACTTACATTAGTATTTTTGAATGAACATTGCTTTATTTGTCATTGTCACAGGCGTATTTGTTAAGTGTGGGGATGGATGAGGTTAGGAAATTAATTACAAACTCGAATTTACAAGTCAATTTTTGTGATTGCTGTCAGCGGAAAAAGCAGTGAACATGAAATTCATAACGAGGCTTTCGGAAACTTTCAGCATTGCGGGTGCATGTCATGCGATCCAGCTAATGTTTCCTACATATCGATGAACGGAGCTTCACTGCCGAGTTTGGTTTTCGATCACCAAAAGGTTGAAATAAAAAAAATAAAAATATGTTTTTAAATGTCATAGTTACTTGCGAATTTTGAACTTTTTCTGGATAATGGGCGAAATGAAAGGACAGCTCTTTTAGTAAACGGATCACTGCGCATTACAGGTGTGGGCAATTTTATCAAGATCTGCTGGATACCTTACATAGACATATGCCTATAATCGATCAGAAATCTTATACCGATGTATGGTATCTGTATCGATCGATTGAGGTTTTGAGATATGGCTATTTCAGAATGGATTTTTAGGGGATGTTTGTGTTTTTGTTTTTTTTGGGGGGGTATGGTAGTCTTATCTAGTTAAGTAATTTATGATGTACATTTTTGATGAAATACTGAATTAAAATTTTTTAAATGTACTATTTCAAAGGTATGATGCTAAATATATAATCCAAGACAATTTAGAATGTCATTTATTTAATCAAAATTCAAATTTATGGTAAAACTGTGATGAAGATACTTCAGTACAGATTTTTCAGGACATTATCCATTGTAGAAAAACACCCACAGCCTTGTTTCAAATTTGATTTATTCTGAATAAAAAAATTAAATTAAATTAAATTAAAAATTAAAATTACTTGTCCCCAATACTTTCCTGCTATTTTTTGCATACAAGTGTTTGTAATATGTACATACCTTTGTATCTGATCTTTTAATGATAAACGTTTATTTGCAGTTTTGGTTAACCATGATGTAATCTACATATATTTTGGCATCATATAATAAATGAAATCTGTTTTGTGGTAACCAGACTTCACAGGATCTGTTCAACATTATGTCAATATGGGGATTTTCTCACTGCTTTTCAATGGATGTGGCTATGGCTATTAACGTGAAACTACTTTCCCTGGGAAATTATTTCTGCTACATGGCTCCAGACAAGGACTGTATGTACAAGTGCAAATATATGAGATAAGATGTATGACTTAAGGAAAGGACCTGATATCTGTGTATGGCCAAAGCTTTATTTAAATGTTACTTTTATGTTTTGAGCAATATTCCCCTCAACCTCTTGACATCATCACCATAATAGCTACGTGCTCACTGCTGCTACACAAACTTGACATATAATATTCTTATATTTCTATTTAAGAAAATCAGATGTTTAGCCATTGCCTATTGGCAAACATGGATGAGCTGAATGAACTCTTAGCAGCTTTTCCAAAATCGAGCAACTGAGAAAGAACTGGTGAGTGAATTAAATTTCTTTAGATGTATCAAGTATGGGAAGTTTACTCCAATTTTGATTCATATAGAAGATCCGGGGTAGAAGATATCTTCAGCAACCCATGTTTGCCGTAAAAGGCAATTATGCATGTCGTATGAGGCGACTAATGGGAACGGGAGGTGAGGCTCTCTGACTTGGTTGATGCATGTCATCGATCCCAATTTCATGGATTGATGCTCATGATGTTAATCACTTGATTGTCTTGTCCAGACTCGATCATTTACAGACCGCCGTCATATAGCTGGAATATTGCTGAGTGAGGCGTTAAACAAACCAAACCAACTGATACATGTTTCTGCTCGAAATATTTATAAGCATATATTTAATATCATGTTTGCCCTATTAAGGGCCCTTGACACTTACTATGGTAATCTTCCAAATGAAATTTCATGCTGACTTACTTTTGATGGACATACAAGAGAGATTGCACACCTAAAACTGTTCTCCAGCAAGATTGGAGGAGGGGTGTTATGTGGTTATTGGGGATTTTTATTGGGCTAAATTAATAGGGTGATATGTCAGTTATAAAATCTTTTTTAATTGACATAAGAAACAGATTAGGGACCTACCATACAATATTGGGAGTTGTTATGTTATTTGCGTATATAATTACACATAATTCAATTTACTTATTTACACATATTATTAACTCATCAATTTACTTACTTGGATTCCGATAATTCTAGGGTGGGGCCTTCTGCTTTTAGCCCCTAAATTTGGAAAAAGGCCCACATTTTCAAATACAATGGGGCATTTTAACATTGTGCTGTATGGGCAAGTGCGGGTGTACCTAGGGAATATATGAAATTGTCACATAAAGGGCCCATGGCAGAAAATTCCTTGAGTGAACCCTGTATTTATTAACAGGTGTCAAGACTTAAAATAAAATATACACACATATGTAAGGTGGTGCATGTGAACAGGGTATTACTTATTCTATTATTCCATTATGTTAACACACTTGTGAAGTCCATTTCTTGTAATTGTGAGAGTGCATGCAATGACTTATAATATGCACACTGACATTTTTTGCTATCATTTGTAAACAGAAGCTGAGGAGGAAGCCTGCAGCTGGGCTCTTACAAGCCACTGACAAGTACATGGTGACCTGTGTAAAAGAATGGCTTCGAGTTCCAGGAGCAAGGCTTAGAAATGGCATAAGGAAAACGCGTTCTGAAAAACAGAGATGTAGATAGAGAATCTGCAAACGAAAGTGCTGAATTGCAACGGAACAAAGAAATCCAAAATGTTGGTGTTGACAACATATTTTTCACAGGGTTATGACCCTTGTTTTTGAACTTGGTACATATTCTGCCAGGTTCTCTTGGACACTACTGAAGTTAATAAATGAAACTTTCCGTGCTTACCTAAGGTACAAACTCCAGAAGATGGTTATAACTTATAAGAACTAATTTTGTATGGAGTTATGGCCTTTGCTTCATGCTATTTTAGGGGGGGGGGGGGAGTTTGTCTTGCAAACGAATTTGGAGCCACATAAATGAAATTTTGCAGGCCAATAGGAGGGGTATATGTTTAGACTGTGTTTTAAAACAGGTTTTGAGAATATATGTTTCACATCCGCCTTGTTGCAGGTAGTAACACTGTTTTCTTGTAAATAATAATTAATTAATAATAAAGTTTATTATTCTATTTTGCTGTTTGTGTTTTTTATAAGTATTAACTACACATGTATTAGGGTACATAAAAATAGTACTGTAACTAGTGTAAGCATTTCGATTGTATTGTACAGCTAGAAGTATTTATATTATTACATTTGGTTTTCAAAGTATTAACTATGATAAAAAATTATTATCTTTTTAAAAATTTTAGTATTTTTTAGTTTTACCTTTTATCTTTGTAACTTTAACATCATGGCTAGCTGCAGCTTTTAGAAATGTTTAGTTTTATGTACCCTAACACTACACTTGGAAAAGTTCTATTGTGGCATCATTTACATGAAATATTAAGATGAGATGTTGTCAGTTATGACTTCTGATGGCATCAGCCTATTTAAGACAATGGCAGATGGCAGATGCTGCGCTGATAATTATTGTCGACGTTGGGCCGATGTCCATCCGATGCTGATTCCATAACAGTTGCCGGAGGCTGGCCAGATAACTATTTACGACGTTGGGCCGATGTCGATCCGATGAGCAAAACTTCATCGGCCCGACATTGTTTGCCCACGTTGGGCCAATGCTGGGCCGGTGCATTGCCGATGCAGGGCCGATTATGTTTGCCAACGTTGGGCCGATGTCGATCCGATGAGCAAAACTTCATCGGCCCGACGATGTTTGCCGACGCTGGGCCGATGCTGGGCCGGTGCAGTGCCGATGCAGGGCCGATGACGTTTGCCGACGTTGGGCCGATGTCGATCCGATGAGCAAAACTTCATCGGCCCGATGCAGTTTGCCGACGTTGGGCCGATGGTGTAGCCGACGTTGGGCCGATGCAGGGCCGATGATGGCATGCTACCTGGGTATAACTTTTCCGGCAGGTTTATCTCCATTGTACATTGTAAGGTAAACAAAATGCCTAAAGCCAAGACAATCTGTGAAATACTGGACTTTCTCATTTATAACATATATGTGAAATACTGGACTTTCTCATTGATAACATATATGTGGAATTTGGGTATAAGAGATATTTAGGCAAAAAGTATGCATCCCCATGGACACCAATTGTGCTCCAATCCTTGCTGATCTGTTTCTTTATGCATAATAATCGGAATTTCTGCTCGGATTAGCAAGATCTACACAAGGCAATTTGGCCAAGAAGTTTACTTTATCATATATAATGGATAGGTTTCTCGGCAGGATAAGGCCAACGGATAAAAACGACATCCGTTGGGGTCATATGCGGATAGAGATGCAAATATCAAAGGTCAAGTAGGGACTACTTTCACTGTTTATAAACAAACATGGCGTCGCCCTCGTCATTCGGCGATCGAGTCAGAATTAACCATCGGGAATATGGATAAACTTCAGGGATAATTGCTATCATTATCAAAAGAACAGTCTAATATACTGAAAATCAGTGTCTAACTGTGACGTAGCTAAGGCATTTTATAAGTTTTGGCAACTTTGGAGATATAATATTCGAAACAATTTTACGAGGGCACCGAGCCTAGCCAAGCGGGATCAGTAGCCATATCTGTGCTTGTAGACCTCTGCGGCTTGAACCCTTCTCCACAAATGAAAATAGTTGGATTTGGCCGAAATATGTTTGAATTGTTACCTTGTTTTGTTTTGTCGCTGTGTGTACATCTGACTACACTTCTTAACATTATGACAGGACAGACCGACTGTCAACAACGTCTGACTGTGGTCGTGACGTCTCATAGACTAGGGTTAGAGTAGCTTCCCTTTGACAAAGGGCAGTTACTCTAGCGGACTGACCGATGGATTGCCGCGAAAGGCAATTAAAAACAATTGTTGTTTTGCGTATATGTTGCTTCGCCACTGTATAAGAAACAGATTTCAGTTGGAACTATATTGGCTACTGTCACTGTCCGACTGACACATCACTTACCCTGTGACGTAAATAAATATTAATGCGCGCATTCCAGGAAAACTCGCAATGTTTCAGTAATGTTTTGAGAGAGGGAAAGCGATTTTCAAGCACAGAATTAAAGAATGACATTATATGATAAAGAGGTTATCACGCTTGTGTGTTTGGGGATGGTAAATATCCTGTATTAGGAATAAACACTATGTATTTAGCTCGCCAAGGCTCGCAAAAGACAATGTTTATTCCTAATGCAGGATATTTACCATCCCCAAACACACTCGAGTGATAACCTCTATTTATTAACCTTCAGGTATATCGATGCTGTGATATCGTTCAATATCGGTCAAGGGGGCACGGGTGGCCCAGTCGTCTGAGGCGCCGCGATTCGCTGTGCAGAGTTGCATCCCTTGGGCACGCCAGAAACCTATCATTTTGGGTTCGAATCCCGGTTCGCCCCGATTATGTTTCTAGGTTTGTCAGCACCATACCCGTGCTCGTGGGTTTCACCGAAGTGGTAAACGTCTGAGACCTGCATCACGTCGGGTATTCCTCCCATATTAAGCTGACACGCCGTGGTATAACTGGAATACTGTTAAAAGCGGCGTTAAACCCAACTCACTCACTCACTCTTAGCACAAAAATATGTGATGATGGAAAATGGCTTGAGTCACTTTCATTTCAGACAGCTCTGTGGTTGTTGGAATGAGATCCTACTTATGTGTTCATGTTTGGTTTCAGATAGCCTCTGCAGTCAAGCATGTCGTCCTTCAGGCAGGAGGAGATGCTTTCCCTCACATAATCTGTGGCGATTTCAACTCGTTCCCAACAAGTGTTGGCTATCAGTTGATGTGTGATGGCTCCCTTTTAGACACTAACAAGGCATTTCTGACATCAGTTAAAAACATAAAGAGTTCAACAGGGCCTGTGAGTATAATAATGTTCATACAGCAGCATACCCCATGTATTTTCCTGTGCTGAATCTGCACCACGAGGTGATACATTTAAATCACCCCTTAAATTTGTTTGGCCATATGAGCATTGGGATCATCTGAAAATAATATCGTAAAAGATGCCATTGATACGATTACTTCATTTTAATTATCGTGTTCCTATTTTTATTTGACATTCACTGGGATGTTCAGTGCTCTCAATGTGGTTTCCATTTGTTTCAGAAATCTTTGATTAATTATCTCTTGGAGGAATTCAAACACACTTCATCGAACATAGCAAGTGCCTACAAAACCTGCCTGGTAAAAATCATGATATCTTAGCACTCATCTCACATAACTACATGGAACAAATAAAACATCATGTTCATGTCAACTCCTGCTTAAAACACCGTATCATTGGTGGTCCACTTCTCCTCCTCACCGCCTCCGAGGTCTCGTGGATAGAGCGTTTGGGAAGGTCGATGGTTCGAACCCCTGGTCGCACCATACCCAAAGACGTTAAAATATGGTACTTGTTGTTACCACGCCTAGCGCTCGTCATTAAGGGGATAAAATATAGACTGGTCAGCTCGGGGTCAGTATACTGTGTCAGAGTTTTGTTCCATGTTAAACTGCGGCATGGTATCAACTAGCACTATAAAACCGGCTAGACTAGTATAAGCATCCACACATACGTACTTGCACATCGCTATAAAAGTGCAATAATCTTGAATGCGACGTTACTCTACATTTTTACCTCACCTCACCATGTCCTCTCGTGTAAGGTGGCATTATCAGATGTGCAGGGTTGCGTAACCTAGACATGGCAGGATCTGCCGAGGGTTTTGAATCTCAGTTTAGCTCATGGGTTATGGATCGTGGTTGGTCAGCTTTTGATTTGTTGTTAAAAGCCGCACTCAGCAATATTCCAGCTATATGACGGCGGTCTGTAAATAATCGAATCTGGACCAGACAACCCAGTGATTAAAATCATGAGCATCGATCCACGCAATTGGGATCGATGACATGCATCAACCAAGTCAGCGAGCCTGACCACCCGATCCCGTTAGTCGCCTTTTACGACAAGCAAAGTCGCCTTTTACGGCAAGCATGGGTTGCTGAAGACCTATTCTACCCCGGAATCTTCACGGGTATGGTTGGTCAGCAGCAAACATGTCTATGTATGTTGCAACGCGGCGAACCGCCTCCGTGGTCTAGTGGATAGAACGTCTGCCCGGAGAGGGGAATGTCGTGGGTTCGATACCCGGCCGCGTCATACCAACAACGTTGAAAGATGGTACTTGTGGTACCCTGCCTGGTGCGCGGCATTAAGGGGCTTAAACAAGGACTGATCGGCTCGGAGTCAGTATACTGTGTATACACACCCACACCCACACCCACACCCACACACGTCGCTATATAAGTGCAATAATCTTGAACGCGACGTTCAACACTATTTTACCTCACCGCCACCATAATCAACACACAGTTACTTGTAGTTGACTTGATGTAAATATTATTTATTGAACTCCTAAACAATATTTTCCTTATGGATACAACCAGCTTTAAAATAATAATAGTCTCGTATGGAGGTCTAAAACGTGAAGATATACTATTAGATGTACGGGCCTCTTTTCGATGATATACATTATATGCTGTACAAGCAGGCACACACCCACATACGTGCATGCACGTCGCAATATAACTGCTTTACTCTTGAACGCAACGTTAAACCCCATTTCACCTCACCTCACCTCTCCTCACCTCATCTCACCTCAACACGGCGGTAAGCACGAGAGCCTTTATCACTTTCCTCCCTATGAAACCGACAGACATAATACAACAGAAATACTGTTGACAGCGACGCAAAATCCGACTCACTCTATACACATCATGGTCAGTGAATGTCATGCTTGTTGCAGGGACATGAACCTGAGATCACGTGTCGTGACTACTGCTTCACTGGCTGCTTGGACTACATCTTCTACGGCAGAGTGGGATTGGGCGTGGCCGACATCCTCGGGATAGTGGACAGCTCGGTTATTGACAAGAACGGTGGACTCCCCAACAAGGGCTTCCCCTCCGACCACGTGTCACTGAAGTCAACCCTCTACTTTAAATAGGTAATACAACATGTACAGGCAACCACACCGGCTGAGAATGTTGTATCCCTCGCTATGACTTCAGTCGAGTGAGTTTTGTTGTGGCCTGCTTGGCTGTCGTGCGTCATCGGTGGTAAACATCTTCTCTCCAGAAACCACAGGACCAATAAAGCTGAAACTTAAAATCTTTGTTCCGACCAAGTATGAAACCCCAATTTGGTCAAGAGTTTTGAAATCACATTTTCAATATGGCCACCACGGCAGCCATATTGAAAAAAACTGAAACTTCCCATCTTTGTTACGACCAACTACGAAACCCCAATTTGGACAAGTGTTTTGAATCAGATTTTCAAAATGGACGCCACAGCAGCCATATTGAAAAAACTTTTTGTTTTGGATCCATAACGCCATTTTTGTTCAAAATGTAATTAAATTTGGTACATGTGTAGTTAGTTAGTCAGTTATATGTAAAATTGCAATTTGACCACACTCCTAAATTGTCTCAAAATGCATTGCACTGTAAACATCAGAACAAATGAAGCTGAACTTGATGTGCTGGTTCCAACCAATAATGATACACCAATTTGTTCAAGAGGTTTTCATTAATTTTCTATATTGGCTGCCAGGGCTGTACAGTGTAATACAATATGGTACACGTTGAGAAAGTAGCCCAACATATATCATCCAGGTGTTGCAATATTTTAAATTTTGACCTTAATTTGATTTTTGTACTTTAAAATGAATACAAGATTGAAACCCACACTTTGGCTTTCAGTGCCTGGGACCACAGGACCCGACTTTCCCTTTTTAAGAGGAACAAATATAGACTAGGGTCATACCAGATACAACATACTGCCTCCTATATGCATATATATTAATGGATGCAAATAATATCTGCATTCGACACAAAGGAGTATGGATGTTTGATTGTTTGTTGTTTAATGCACACTCAGCAATATTCCAGGTGTATGACAGTGGTCTGTAATAATCGAGTCTGTACCAGACAATCCAGTGATTGATATCATGAGCATTGATCCACGCAATAAGGTCACGATGACATGCAACCAAGTCAGCAAGCCAGACCACCCAATCCCGTTAGTTGCCTCTTATGACAAGCATAGTCACCTTTTAATGCAAGCATGGGTTTCTGAACATATTCTATCCCCGATCTTCATCATCTTCACAATTGTATGGATGTTTGAAAGATTAAAACTAACGAGACTATGTTCAGACAGCCCATTCTAACAAGGACATTACCATATATAACATGCATAAAGCATCACTCATACTTTGAATTTTATTTGCTGTTGGTACAGTGGTCACCATGAGATCCTTTTTAAATGCCTGGAACCCTTAAATGTATTACTAAGCAAATATATACCATAGGCCACGGTTAATCCTGGGAAATGGTTAATATCTTCCATGGTGTAAGAAAAATGGCTTCTTTATTGCAAATTGAGATCCCATTGCTGACTTGACCGTGATTTGTCTTGTTTCTTACCATATACAATCCTTTATTATTACTTCTATGTTTCAGAGTGGGAAGAAGACAAGGTGGTTCAAGAAGTCTTCCGAAGAAAACTTGTCATCTTCACTATAGATCCACATGCTTACTGAATATAGGACAAGCACCTATAATAGTTTAGTGTTGGTCACAAATGGTATTTACAATGTGGCAGTGATATTTACATTGTATTGGAACTCTGCTGGTTCAGGAAACACAACTGCTGGGTTCATATACACAATTTCAGCTGGAATGTTGGAAAGACAGGGTGGATTGTGGAAGTCAGAACAGGGTACATGCCAAAAAACTTGTGATACAGCAATGGCTGATGGTACAACACTTGTTAAGCTGTGAAACAGAAATCTACCTTGAGCAAAACCTATGATGACTTTATGAAAGTGGTTCTAAGAGTTACAAGTCTGAGTGTTGATCAATGGAAATTGTATTCAAGTATTATTAGTGTAAAATTCACCAGCTGGTTTGAAGATGTGTATGTTTGTTTGTTTGTTTGTTGTTTAACGCTGCACTCAGAAATATTCCAGCTATATGACGGAGGTGTGTTAATTATAATCGAGGCTGGACCAGACAATCCAGTGATTGACATCATGAGCATCGATCAATGCACATGGGGATACAATGACATGCATCAACCAAGTCAGCGAGCCTGAGCACCTGATCCATTGCTCTCATGACAAGCATAGTTGCCTTTTATGGCAAGCATGGGTTGCTTAAGACCTATTCTAGGACGGGTCTTCACAGATCATCCAAATGTGTAAAAGTGTAAATTTACTGATTGGTATCAGAATATGTAAAAGTGTAAAATTCACTGACTGGAATCAGTATATGTAAGTGGGCAGGATATGTAAATGTTTCAAAGTGAGTGAGTCTGGTTTTACACGGCATTTAGCTCTATTCCAGCAATATTACGCTGGGAGACACCACACATTTGTTACATACATTGTACCCATGTTTGGAATCGAACCTGGACCGGCAGTGTGACAAGTGATCACTCTGACCACTAGGCTACCCCACAGTGTGAGTGAGTGAGTGAGTGAGTGAGTGAGTGAGTGAGTGAGTGAGTGAGTATGGGTTTACACCGCTTTTTGCAATATTCCAGCAATATCACATCGGGGGACACCTGAAAAGGGCTTCACACATTGTACCCATGTTGGGAATCGAACACAGGTCTACGGCGTAACGAGTGAATGCTTTAACCACTAGGCTACCCGATCGCCCCCACAGTATATGTAAGTTGAGGAACGGGGTACAGGCCATCTGGGCACCAACCCATTCACACTATATCACAAAGCAACAAGTATCCAAAGTTATAAAATATTTACTAATTCAAACAACAAACATGTCAGCTATTTTGTCAGGGCTGTTTTGTAAAACCATCATCATGACACACCCTGTTTTCAGGCTTAAAAAATACCATCTATGGGGTTCCAAAGTTTCATCTGGTCATAATCCTCATATTAAACCATTCTTAACATGTTTTGTAAAACCACTTAAAAACACAAATTAACAACCAACCAGTATTTGAGCATGTTAAGCGCTCAAACTGACAAGAGTGGGTGGAAAACCGTAAATCCTTGAATAAGCTCCAGAGGTTTGATTGTCTTGGATTATCCTGACCTGGTGTTTATTTGAGGCATACACCTACTTTTGAGCATAGAGTTGGCATCAGGTGTTTTCAATTTTCCTTAAAATGTCTGTTCCTAAGTTTCACATATATCAAGGAAAGATTTTGGGATGTTATTACATGTAATATGTAATCATTATACTTTTACCCCATGTTAGACAAAGTGTTTATCCAAGGCACACAATTATTTCTTTCGGTGTATCAGTTGACTCTACCTTTGTACCGGTAGGGCATTTATTCAAGGATTTACAATATATCATCTCAGTGAACAAGAAAGGCCAGATCAGGTGTTATTTGAATGATGATGTTTGATATCTCAATGTTCAGGTCGATAACAGGATTAGATGAAATGACTTGATCTTCATCAACTGGACACACAAAATATTCATCTATACATACAACCAGTTTCAGATCATGCACATATAAAACATTGACAAACGATGGAAATAAAAAATCATCCCTTATTGTGTTGTATTCAATATTATTCACAACAGATAGTCTTGGGACAAGAATAAAACATACTCTTCCTTCATCACTTTTGTTTTCAACAAACAAATAGATATTTTTATACGAGTATGTGCGTCATACTGATTCTATGAAACGGGTGTCAGAATCCTTTTATTTCCCATGTTAATATATAATACATAGTTTCGTAAAATCGGTTTGACACACATGCGAATGTAACAATTTCTATATTTCATAATCTTTTTGAGCTCTCCTTTACAAACATGCACTGATCACGATGAACATCTTAAAAAACACAACTGTAGAAAGTCGCACCAATCTTCAGCAGTGATGTCACTTCTAGTGTGACGTCATCCTGACGTTACATCACAATAAGATTCAAAAGATGTCAACAATGCCATCCAGATGATGAACACAATAGACTGGTGCACGAGTGCACATAGGATTTTATGAACTCAGATATTTCTAACCCTATAGGTAATAAATAAAAAATAATTCCTACCTCCTCTGGTTTGAGGAAAATGTGCCCGAAAAACATTTAATTTTGTATGCATAACAAAGAAAATAACAGAAAGTCCTGTGTGGCATTACTCAGCAGCAAACTGTTTTGATCATTGATAATTCTGTAGTTGTGTAATGCTGCAAAGTATGAAACTGATTTACTCAAAATATTGCATTACATCAGCTGTTTACAACATGTACAATGTAAGTGTCAACTGCAAAATCGTAATTGAACAAAAGTTAGCAACTATCAAAAATGAATACTGTCATGTGAAACAAATATAAAGTTGACCATAACCCGCACCATTCCCAGCAAAATCATCTGGATAAGAACTGCTCATAATAGATTTAATTCATAAAGTGTCTTTGCATCCTAGATTCATCCCTGACAGTTATTGTCCGGAAAGCTTGTTGTCTGGACTAGCAGGGTCATATATTGGAAATAAGTTGGACATATATTATTTGACAGATGGAACAGGAGAAAATTATGACTTATCCTCCCGAAATATCACTGGCCCCAGAATGACAAGAAGAACTGGCTCTTGAAGGCTGATGAATGCTTGCTGTCTAGTGAAGATATAACGGCTCACATCTGTCCGGGAGTGACCCAGCCACCTGGCCCGGCTTCCAGGGCCTGAGCCACAGCTATAGTGTTCCGATCTTCATACATGCCACCCACTATCTGAACCCCGACTGGTAGCCCACTCTTGTTGAGTCCAAGAGGACACTGTGTGACAGGCAGACCCAGTGCATTGAAGATGGCCGTGTAGGAGAAGTTGGTTGGTGTTGAGAGTGGCTGGTTGTGGAGCTGGGCAGAGCAGGGATGTGATGGATACAGGAGGATTCCCCCATCATCAAGCAGCTCCCTCATCTCCTTCTCAAACTCTGTCAACATCTTCAGGAACTGGGCATTGCTACCCTCCAGCAGAGGGGTGAAGCACTCTATCACAGCCAGCATGATGGCTGGAAGAGTGTGGTGGGACCTACCGATCAGCCAGCGGAACAACTCGTACAAGCCATTAACCGATCCCTTTTCACCAGCCATGAACTCACTGAATGTTGTCCCATCGGAGGATGTCATGCGGGCTGACCACATCTCCATGCTGTACTTCATCCGCCTCAAGTTCAGTGTGGTCACTCGTACACCCAGTGTGTGCTCCAGATACACCACAGCCTGCAAGGGGAAACAACACATTAGTTCTTCAACCTGAAACAATTCTATTTCCCAACATCACACGGCACCACACAGAATAGTCAACTTCTGAACAAAGTAAAATCTGAACGAAGTAAAATCTGAATGAAGTAAATTCAGAGCTAAGTAACTTTGAACTAATCACTTCTACATCACTACATTCAATTCATTAATGTCAAGATCAGATTCTTCCTCTTTTTGGTTCTGTAATCACTGGAATACAACTGACCTTGACCAATACATCACATTAGTTATAACAATATCTACATGAAATAGGAATGTCTTAATTCCCATTTGGGAATTTCTGACAATTGCTGCAGACTTGGTGTTGAAGATTGGCCTATGAGCAGATCAAGATAACCTCCTGTACTGGATTGACCAGCTATTTGGTTGGCTTGCAAGAAACAAATAAGGAGATGGAGGCGATGGAGATGTCACTCTTGTCATGGAGTGGTCCCTCATGGACATCTGCTCATCTCTGTTAATAACCTGTTCCCAGTGCATCCATCAACCTGTTCCAAGTGCATCCATCAACCTGTTCCATCTGCAATAACCTGTTCCATCTGCAATAACCTGTTCCATCTGCAATAACCTGTTCCATCTTCATAAACCATTTCCATTTATAACAACATCAACATGTTCCATCTACATCAAACTGTTCCAAGTGCATCCATAAACCTCTTCCATCTACACAAACCATTTACATCTGTATCCATCAACCTGTTCCATCTACATCCATAAACCTGTTCAATCTGCATCCCTCAATCTGTTCCATCTACATCCATCAATCTGTTCCATCTACATCCATCCATTTACATCCATCAATCTGTTACATCTACATCCATCAATCTGTTCCATCTACATCCATCAACCTGTTCCATCTACATCCATAAACCTGTTCCATCTGGATCCACCAATCTGTTCCATCTACATCCATCAACCTGTTCCATCTACATCCATCAACCTGTTCCATCTACATCCATCAATCTGTTCCATCTACATCCATCCATTTACATCCATCAATCTGTTCCATCTACATCCATCAACCTGTTCCATCTACATCCATCAACCTGTTCCATCTGGATCCACCAATCTGTTCCATCTACATCCATCAACCTGTTCCATCTACATCCATCAATCTGTTCCATCTACATCCATAAACCTGTTCCATCTACATCCATCAACCTGTTCCATCTGTATCCATCAACCTGTTCCATCTGTATCCATCAACCTGTTCTATCTACATCCATCAACTTGTTCCATCTACATCCATAAACCTGTTCAATCTACATCGATGAATCTGTTCCATCTACATCCATCAACATGCTCTACTCACTTTTTTCTGTGCCGCCACCAGTTCTTGATTCACATTACTCTGAAGCAACCCTCCTCCATCATTCTCCATTGAGAAAAACCTCAGCTCCTTCAAGTCCACCTGAAAGATTCATCTTCTCAGTAAGTATTGGAAATGAATAGGAGAATTAATGTGCAGCTGTTTTCCAGATTAACTTTAATTAACATCAGTTAATAACATACCTCATGTGAAAACATTGGCCCATGGCAAACGTTTCAACAACATTTAAATAGCAGTCAAGGTCAATGTATGATCTTACTTGATGGAAAATCTGGTACATTGACTGATGTTTCAACAACATCCAGACAGAGGTCTCCGTCCATCACTGATGTTTTACCAACATTGTGATAGCAGTTTCGGTCCATCATGATCTTGTTTTTAACAGCATCTGGAAAGTGGTCTTGGCCCATCACGGGTGTTTCACCAATATCAGACAGAGGTCTTGGCCCATCACGGATGTTTCACCAATATCAGACAGAGGTCTTGGCCCATCACATATGTTTCACCAATATCCATACAGAGGTCTTGGCCCATCATGGATGTTTCACCAATATCTGTACAGAGGTCTTGGCCCATCATGGATGTTTCACCAATATCTGTACAGAGGTCTTGGCCCATCATGGATGTTTCACCAATATACGACAGAGATCTTGGCCAATCACACGTTTCACTGATATCTGTACAGAGATCTGTACAGTGATCTGTACAGAGATCTTGACCCATCACACGTTTCAACAATATCTGACAGAGGTCTTGGTCCATCACGGTTGTCTAACCAATATCCGACAGAGGTCTTCGCCCATCATGGGTGTTTCACCAATATCCATACACAGGTCTTGGCCCATCACAGATGTTTCACCCACATTCTGACAGCAGTCTGGGTCCATGCCAGCTGTACTAATAACATACTGTAATAAATTTTCTCACTTTTTTCTTCAAGTTAAGCTGCGAAGCATCCCCAGACATAATCTGCATCAGAGGTAAGAGATCAGCAGCATAGCGGCAGAGCGGCCCCGTAACAAGCAGGTCGACCTGACTCCCTGTGGCAGGAGGGTGCTGTCCACTGTTGTCAACAACACCTGCATAACAATAACAACATTAGCATGATCAGAATATTTTCAATTGATGTCAACAACATTTAAGGTAACACACTCATGGCATTAGACATATGGTATTTCCTGGTTACAGGAGATTGTCTACTGTTGCCAGAAAAACCTACATAACATGACACAACATCTAAACAAACACAACAAAATTAAAAAATTAGAAGGTTATCATGCAAGTGTGTTTGGGGATTGTAAATATCCTGTATTAGGAATAAACAATGTATTTAGCGAGCCTTGGCACAATGACAAGGGTGACTCCATGTTGGTTTGTGAACGCTGAAAGTAGTCCCTACTTGACCCTTTGATATTTGCATCTCTATCCCCATTTGACCCCAACGAACATCGTTTTTGTCCCCTGGCATTATCCTGCCGAGAAACCTACCCATTACATGACAAACAAAAATATTAAAACTCAGCATTATCTAAGGCAACAACACAACAACTGGCCTCTCAAGGGAAACTGGCCACTACAGGTGTGTATGAGAGAAGAGTGCGAGAGATGTGATGCATGTTGGCTTGGACAGTTTCAATACAACAAGTTCTCCAGTGTTGGGTTGCCTAGGTGTCCATGTTACATATGCAGCTGGTTGTTAATTTGAAAAACTGTGACAGGACATTAAATGCATGCTTCATCTGCAGCATGTACCTATCCTCCCCCATGCTATTCTACTGGAATCTCTCACACCATATTTCAGCAGTTTCTTAATATAACATTATATCCGATCAATCATTGTGCAAGTACCTGGGTCCTAATAAAATCAAAGTTTACTTTAAAAAAGAAGAAGAATACATTACTTAGATTTCAAGTTTAAAAGCAAACAAAACACCACTTACTCATTTTAGGTGTATCATTTAATGACAATCCTGGTTATGTTTTGTATAAAGTACACGTTCAGCATGTTCAGATACTGAGTTACATTATACATGTTAACACTCAAAAAGGCTCAGCCAGTTCAACCCGATTATGTTTCTAGGTTTGTCAGCCCCATACCCATGCTTGTGGGTTTCACCGAAGTGGTAAACGTCCTAGACCTGCATCACTTCGGGCTTTCCTCCCACATTAAGCTGACACGCCGTGATATGGAATACTGTTAAAAGCGGCGTTAAACCCAACTCACTCACTCAAAAAGGCTCAGGTGTATTGCTAGTTACTTCCGTTACAAATTTAATATTAAATTAATACTAGCCATGTTCCTAATCTCAACACTGAAGATTGTTTATATGATAAGGTACCACATGGAAATGTAGAGAACAGCTGACAGGAAGTATTGTCTTACCTCTAGAAGGTTTGTGTCCGTACACACCATTGAAGAAAGCTGGCATTCGTATACTTCCCCCGATGTCCGACCCCACTCCCATGACGGAGGCTCCCGTGGACAGGATGCACCCTTCACCTCCTGCAACAACAGACAATGGACACTGGATTTTACTGGAAACAAAATACTGCATCCTGTACATAGTAAAATTCAAAATGGACACATTGGACAGGTTGGAATTATTAAATTCATAATATTAAAATATACATTAAATGTACATGATGTATCTGATATTGCTGTTCTGATAAGATGTACAATCAATGTTAGTTCACACTACCTTCACTCAATCACAAAGCATATATTGAAACCAGGAAATGCCTTTCTGTTAGAAGCATAAAGAGCATCACACATAATATTTGTACTGTTTAAATGGTACTTCTTCCTTAATCCAGACTTCAGATTGTGAGATGGGTAACAAGACTCTCTATTATGTCATCCATATTGGATGTTAATGTACACAGTGTGAAGTGTGTGCTGTTTACATGGTTTAGATAGGAACCCAGCCTATCGAAATGCCTGTAGATATAATTCATATAATCATAAATTAATTCTTCTGTGACTATATTGAAAATATCAATACACAAGGGTTGTATTGCAATACATGTCTTGCTGATGGCAGTATTTCAATATATCGGCAGTGTTGGCTGAAGAGCGCGTTTTTGCGTCTTGGACGCACAAAAATGAGTTTGAACGCACCTGCGTAACATGTGTGGGTCTCGTGGACGCAGTGACTGGGGCGTTATTAATTTCATATCGAATTGACACTGTTATCGTAAATCAAAGACGTACGTCTTTGCGTAAAGGTATTTGTTGCCAAACAAGACCGGGAAGCATGTTGATTAACACTTCCGTTTGCTAAACCAAACCAGTTTCATTATTCTCTCCCTGTTTATGACAAATACCCAAACCGGTTTCTTGACCTATATCTATTTTCGATTTTGCATGTATTAATGTTTGGTATGGTCCGTAGCTTTGCTTCAGCCAATCAGGTGCCGCATATTAAGCAGGTCGGATATAGTCGTAATTCATTTAGCTTGATTGGTCGAAAATTTCCCGACCTTGTGTCAAACTAAAAATAGCCCGGCACATTAAGGGTATACTTCAGAACGTGGTAACAGTGACCCGCGAAATCGAGCGACCGTGTAGGATGGTACGCTATGTTATCGCAGTAGATTGAAATGGGGCACGCTTATAACCTTATTAAATATGTGATTCAAATATTTTTTGTTCATTGGATTGATCGATGCTGATTTTCTTTACCGAGTTTGGTAAACAAAGTTCCTGTGTGGGTTATATGGTTTACATCACGTCCTGTTTTGTATTTTACATACGACCGAGGTTTGATCAAGGGACTTCGTTTAAACAAATGGGTTCTTTTTCGTATCAATTTCGAATGGAGGAAGGGGTAATTCCACTTCAAAAACATCCCAGAAACTATCATAAAGAAGTTAACGTGTGTACAAGTAGCCGTGACATACCGCAACGAGTCCTGTATTCAATCATGCAATGAAATATATCGTGCTTAGATTTGCATAAGTAAACAGTCAACAGTTTGTGTGGATTTCGAGATTTATCGATACCGCCATACTGTATATGATAAAGAATAAATGCGGACACTTGAATGTAAGCATTGTTTTTATTTAGCGGACTCTGAATATTTAGTTATTCTACAACAGACTTATCAAGCTGATTATAATTCAATCTCTTGTGGGTTATATTAAGAATTGCAAAACACATTTTGACAGAACCGTTATTAGTGTAAATGACATGTTTTAACATTTATAGCACCTGAAACATGTTCATTGTTGACTAGATTTATGAAGGAAATGCTGGATCCTGAACATACTCTTACTTAAAAAAACTGTTTGATATCCCAATTATGTTATGACTCATTGATCATTGTCACAGTTACGACATGAACTCACTACTCAGTACAGTAGCATCAGAACAGCCATTGAACTTGACTGAATCCATAAACTTCAAATCATTGGAAGATCTAGATATAAACATTAACAAATGTCTGCCCCTATGACCCCTTACCAATGGCTGATCACCCGTGTACTGCCTTTTCATTTACAAAGTTAGATATTAACATGGATAGTTTTGTGTTAAAATATTCATTAGTATCAAATTTCCATTTTAAGAAATTGTTTGTCCCTTAATGTAAACCTCTTGGTCATGAGAGCAGGATGTGTCCTGATGTGAACCTTTCTCTCACTTTGCCTGTTTGTTGATATTTTGCAGTTGCGAAAAGATGTCTGATTTTTCACAACCACTGTATTCTGTTGTTTATGTTATATTATGATGCTACAAATTGGACCCCTCCATTTTTGTTTGGGACCCCTAATTTTATGCTGAAGGGGTCCAACTGACCCCAAGAAACTTTAAGCCAGAGCAGACACTGTATCGGTATACCAGTTATATTGTAAACCCCTATATACCATGTCCTATGACTTTACAGAGCATTATACCACCAGGGTGCGTTACGTCCATTGTTTCTGAGGTTTGTTCTTTGTAACGACCCTGCACGTGCAACATGCTGAGGTTGGATGATTCCATTTGGAGGAGAGGGGATAAAGCCTCAATTCACAGTTCCTGCATCCTCTCATAAAGCACATTGCATAGCACTATCAGTGACTATTATGAGTTATGTCCCTTCTATGTCCCTCCCATTGACCAATCAGATTCCACCTCTCATATAACTTGCATTTGCTTCAAACAAAATGGCGCCCAGTCAAGACGATCTGATCAAAATCTATATTGTAATAAAACGGGTCCTACTTCGCGAAGTGCATCAAATCATGTGAGCACCTTGAGTAAAACTATGAAAAGATTTTGAAAATATCTGTTGATGCTGAGTTGGTGGAACACATGCTTTTCAAATCCTGCAATCGACCAATCGGATGTCGATTTCATGACGTGATTTTGATTGGACTATGCATAAACTTGTTAGTCCAGGTAAAATATAACTCCATAATTCCTGCCTTGTTTGACAAGGGTGGAAACTGGACTCGCCTTAAGGAGGGCGCTTACCTGTACATACACATGTACCTGCAGTCTTGCAAAAGAGGGATATTCATGGCGTATTACATATGTTCAGTCATGGCTGAATGAAATTAACAGTCTGAAATTTAGGGGTATGTTATCACAGATTTAATGCTTCGGTATTTTAATTTCAAACCCTCTTGCACAGGTTCATTTTTCAAAATAACATTTGAGATATCAAATCCATGTAAAGGCATTTTTCACAGGAGGTAATACTTCATAACTGGGAGGGATTTGGAAGTAAAATACATTGTCTTAATCATATTTTATTCACAGCAGTGAAATGGACTGGGTACAACAGAGCTCCAGATAACTTTTTGAGCAATTTAGTTTTTACTCCAAGGTTTCTATTCTAATTGGGTAATTCCATTTTTCATTGGGTACGTATTTTTTTACTCATCACTGTATTGGGTTTTACCCAAAATGAGTAAGAATTTTGAGATTTAAAAACAAAATGAAATAATGTTTTAGATGTATATTGGAATATAATGGTTCTAAATATAGGGTTGACTTGGAAAGTAAATTAGCTCGTAATTGTGTTTCGGAATTAGCTCCGTTGTACGCATGATGAAAAAGCTCCATTGGGTATTTAGAATGGCTGTTTTCAAACGATTGACTTTTCCATTCAATGCATGCGTTTCTGTACACAAGTTAATTGAAAGTCATTGGGTTTTGAATAGTTTTGGGGGTTATTTTACGCAAATATGCAGCTTATTTGTAGCCCTGGTACAAGTTTTCCATCTTAGAACACCCTCAGCCTACAAGTACAACATAGAGGGGCAGAATATCTATCATTAGACTTTCTTATTATGAGGTGAGGTGAAATGGGGTTTAACGTCGCGTCCAAGGTTATTGCACTTATATAGCGACGTGCATGTACATGTGTGTGTTTGTGTGGCTGCTTGTACTAGTCCGGACTGATGCCGATTTATAGTGCTAGCTCACTGAGATACCATGCCGCAGTTTAACATGAATACCCCACTAAGACACAGTATACTGACTCCGAGCCAACCAGTCCTTGTTTTAGCCCATTAATGCCGAGCGCCAGACAGGGTAACAAAAAGTACCATCTTTTAACGCCTTTTGGTATGACGAGGCCGGGGATCGAACCCCGGACATTCCGCTCTCCAGGTGGACGCTCTGCCACTAGACCACGGAGGCGGTCTTCTTATTATGATAGATAAACAGTTGAACACTATTGAACATAAAGTGATTTTTAGTCATTGGGAGACATGCATGGCCATGCAAAACTAATTTGATACCTAACCGAAATTTTTGTGTATTGTGTGTACCTGAGCTTCCTCCTACGATGTGACTGGTGCTGTAGGCGTTGTTTGTCCGGCCGTACACGTTGTTTGCAGACTCGTACCACATACAGAGCTCGCTGGTGTTGGTGAGGATAAAGGGAATGGCTCCAGCTGCCTTGAGGTGTCTCACAACAGCAGCCGTTGATGGAGCCTTGTTATTTCTCCTTGTCCACAGACCAGAGCAGCTTGGCATACCTGAAGACATAACAGCAGCATCACAACATGGAACCACTGGCAAACACTGTCTACTACAAGAACCTGTTTACAATGCTTGACCTGCATATTCAGTGCGTGTCCCCTGCCACTGTAAGAAAGATAAGCGTTGTCCAATGCTTGTTACCATGGTTACACCCTTCTCCCCTCTCTGAGTACACAATTATCATGATCATATTTCCTCTGTGAGAGAATAACGTTTATTTTTCCCCTACATGTTAACAATGTCTGAACAGTATGTGACATGCCTGCCCCCCAACATCTGTGACATGCCTGCACCCACATCGGAACAGTATGTGACATGCCTGCCCCCCACATCTGAACAGTATGTGACATGCCTGCCCCTACATCTGAACAGTATGTGACATGCCTGCCCCTACATCTGAACAGTATGTGACATGCCTGCACCCACATCTGAACGGTATGTGACATGCCTGCACCCACATCTGAACGGTATGTGACATGCCTGCACCCACATCTGAACGGTATGTGACATGCCTGCACCCACATCTGAACGGTATGTGACATGCCTGCACCCACATCTGAACAGTATGTGACATGCCTGCACCCACATCTGAACAGTATGTGACATGCCTGCCCCTACATCTGAACAGTATGTGACATGCCTGCACCCACATCTGAACAGTGTGTGACATGCCTGCCCCTACATCTGAACAGTATGTGACATGCCTGCACCCACATCTGAACGGTATGTGACATGCCTGCACCCACATCTGAACAGTATGTGACATGCCTGCACCCACATCTGAACGGTATGTGACATGCCTGCACCCACATCTGAACAGTATGTGACATGCCTGCACCCACATCTGAACAGTGTGTGACATGCCTGCTCCCCCACATCTGAACAGTATGTGACATGCCTGCACCCACATCTGAACAGTATGTGACATGCCTGCACCCACATCCAGGCCACAAAGTTAAAAAAAATTCAAAGGAGCCACTTGGCTCCTAAATTATTTTTTCAAGGAGCCAAATAGAATTTCAAGGAGCCAAGACAAAATGTAAGGAGCCAAAAGTAATGACTTGTAATTTAACTGCATAACAAACAAAAAAAATCCATTAGTTTGAATAATCAGTTTTAAATCATGAACAACAACTGTTGACGTGTTGTTGAAGCTTTTGAGTTTTTCAGACAAACAAGCTTTAGAACATTGTGTCAGTAACATCATCTGACAGTTTACCGGTGCCAGTTGCAGGTTTTGGTTCATCGAACGTGTCGATAGACGACGAAACTTCCGTGTCAGCTTCGCCATTCAAAGCATTCCGTATTATCTTGAGTATACTGCGCATTTATTTCCAAAAAAACACAGCTGTGTAGAAGGGGGTGCGCATTATACACGAAATAATGAGTTTTGATGTTTTTCCCCCATGGAAAGACATTACCGTGAGAACGTAACACCGGAAATACCATGTCAACAAATCCATACTGAAGTACGCAAACAAATCACGTAATTACACTGTCTGACTATAAAAAGTGTTCTTTGTATATCTGGACTTATGTTAGTAACTTATTTCATTAATTTTATTCAAAATTACTTTTAATATTGTTTTAATTTATTTCGGCGAAATCGTGTGTGAAGCGATCGGAAGATCTAACAAACGGTTATTAAGAGAAACCACGGTCAGATTACCGCTATTGATGCCTTGAAACGAACTTTCGTTGACAGAGAATGGATACATTTGTCATAAATGCCATACTTTGACTCGTTAAAGGTCATATTTGTTTTTGTTGGACGATTCTATGTCAACACGTAATTCACGCGATCACGTGCACGGGAGCCTTGACGGTGACTGGTCAGACTGTGTGTTCCATGTAAAACCATGTAATACCCGGTAATAGCAATCAGCTGCTTCGCTTACGCTTAGGGTTATTATCATTTCAAATATGTTTGGTAAAAGCTGCATCTAAATTAACAAGATATTGGAATATATTATTCCTGATAAAAAGAAGAAGTTTCAGATACATTTTTTGCCGATCCTTGCATTCAAACCCTGTAAAGTTATATCATTGGGTGTGACTTGACTGAATCACCGGTAAATTCCAAGAAATTGTGTGTACAGCTGATTGCTGTGTCCGGCTTAGTTTACGAGAAGATACACATGGTAATCTTAATCCCTGGATATAAAACAATGCCTAGCAGAACAAAAAAATACAATTTAAACGGTAAATCAACATGTCTGGTGATTTTTTATCTATGTGTTTATCCCTTTCAACACCGTAGGCCGGTTTTCCGGCCAAGCCGTAGTCACGTCAAAATAGTATATATTTGTATGGACCTACCTATAATATCATTCATTTATTAAATCTATCACATTTCACAATGTCTGAAATACGTATTCCATATCAATTTATCATTTTTTTATCAATAAATAAAAAATTATTCACTATTTCCCGCGATGTTATTGAAAATATAATTCTCGGACACACATTTCAACAACGGGTCCACATCGAACATGTCAAAGAGCAAAATAAAGACGTTTTAAGCAAATCTTTGATATATTATACAAAGTAATAAATAAATTCAACAAAAATATATCTAAAAGTAATCAAACTTACATCTAAGTTATTATTTCCATCTTTTCGTGCGATTGCATGTAATGTAAGTCAAATGACATCTCAGCTTTCGTCGCCTTAAATTCTGGGCTCGGACACGATGTTTAATGCAAAAATATATGCATGAAAAATCTGTCACAGCTCGTAACCTAGCACGATAGATTCACGAAGTTCCATATTTTTAATATATATATATCGTGATTTCCTGCCTTTTAGTTCAGAATAACATGATTTAACAAAAATCTTTCGCCAACTTCTGAAATTTATCAAACACGAGCTTGGTATCACCGCTGAAATTTGATTGGCTGCCTGCCTTACAAGTAGTTAGAAATGTAGACAGTGATAGTAATTTCCAATATTACTTGCCTCCGGACAAGTTAAAGTAAGTGATTTTGTTGCCCAACCTCGTATTTCTACTTTCCCCGAGAGTCGGGAAATGGCAAATTTCCACCCCTGTTTCCCCCCCCCCCCCCCCCAAAAAAAAATAAATACTGAATCTGCTAGAGAGGGGTGCGCACTATACTAAAGAAAATACGGTATTCATCATTTGCCGATTGACAACGATTTGTTGTTGTTTTGACTTGCGCAAATATAGAAAAATACTTCGTGTTTTTGAACGGCGAAACGACCGCCTGAGCTGTCACCTGGGCGGATGTCGTACAGCGCATGCGTGGGTACTAAACTCTTAACATCGTTAGTGCATTACTTAATAACGGAAAGTGCTTCCTTCATTCCAGGTATGGAGCTTCATATCGAAAGCGAAAACAGAACACATGGCCAACAGTGATCTTGTCGATGTTATTATGTTCTGATATCGATTTTTTTCACCGAAGTTACGCACTTATATTAAAAACGATCTTTTTTAATATCTTATGACAAGAGATATTTAGTCGCCAAACTTAATTAAAGACAAGGAGCCAGTTGGCGACTGACATGAAAATACCAGTCGCAAAATACAAAACTAGATCGCCATGGCGACCAATTTAGTCGCAACTTTGTGGCCTGACATCTGAACAGTATGTGACATGCCTGCACCCACATCTGAACAGTACGTGACATGCCTGCACCAACATCTGAACAGTATGTGACATGCCTGCACCCACATCTGAACAGTATGTGACATGCCTGCCCCCACAACTGAACAGTGTGTGATATAATATGCCTGCCCCCAACCTCAGAAACAATGTCTGAACAGTATGCCTTTCTTTTGTCCCTTACTTCTCAAAGCATTTAAACTGTAATTGCTTAAATGTGTTACAATAATAATAATAATAATAATAATAATAATATTAGTCCACTTGACATTCGCTAACCCATCAATCAGGAAGTTACTCACAGCACTACACAATAGTTTCACATTACAATTTTTTAAATACTGTATTCGACGTAATAAGCTCCCCGCTCTAATAAGCGCCCATGGCGATATATGCTAATATATTGGCTAGTGAACAATCCCAATTAGCAAACCCTTCCGATTGATCAATGTAGAAAAGACTTATTTATTTGCGTACAATACGCACTCGTGTTATATGCACCCTTCATTATTGGCAATTAAACTCTGGAAAATATATCTGTCGTATATAAACATTTCAGGCAGTCAGCATAAACCACGAAATTTATCTTTCAACTCTCTTTTTTTCACCAAAATAATATTCTAATAAGAGCCCCCTATTTCTAATTTTGAGAGCACTTATTACGTCGAATACGGTAGATCTGTTTTGAGGTTTGATTTGAAGGCTTACCTTTTACTTGAAATGCTTCTTTAACAGACAGTGGCACTCCCAGCAGTGGTAAATTTTTGACAGAACTGTCGTCCTCAGCTAGCTGCCTGTCAACATTTCCAGCTGCCTCCAAGGCTTCCGAGAACATGTCCACTACAACAGCGTTGACCACTGGGTTGACCGCCTTCACTCGCTGTATGAATCTCTGCATCACCTCAACAGCGGTCACCTGCAGCACAGACAACAGACACACACCTTTAGCTATCAGAGCATTATGTTCACATCATTGCGAGGGTCTGGTTGAGAATGTAAACACGATGAGAGGAAAAAACCTGTGGGCCCTTTCCCCCTGTTTTTATGATTATAATATTATAAAAAGGGCAAAAGTGAGTGTGGCTCACTAATACCCCCGACCGGCCTAGTGTATCAGTAGTTTCAAATTAAATAATGGATAGGGTTAGGGTTTGAAAAATTCATTAAAAAAAATTGATAATTAATAAAAACAATTTTTTTCTTTTGACTGCACCCCTCCATATGACACGGATTATATGTACTAAGTTTGAGATGAATCCACTGAATAGTTTGAGAGAAATCGCGTGGACAAAGTTTTCGGACGGGTGGACGGACTGACGGAACCTTGGTATAACTATATACCCCGACCTAAAAAGATGGGGGTATAACAAATGAACGATAGAGCTGTTCTCATAACAGTTATAAGTCAGAGGCCAAAATCAATGGGACTTGATTATATTTAGTCATCTACAGCTAAAAATCAGAAGGGGAAAAGGCTTAATTTGATTTTCAATGTCTGATCAGGAAACGCCTGACTGACAATTAAAATATCATAATGATCATACTTTTATCCCAAACAATAACAATTTGCATACAGAATGTTCATCAATATTTTCATATTGGTCAGCAATACTATTATAAAAACCATGCCCTCGGACAGTACATCGTTTAACAGCTCACTGAATGTAGGGGGATGGACCTATAGCCTGCTGAACAGAGGTGTGCAAGGTCAATAGTCAACATGGTCAAGTAGAGCTAATCACATGACTTGTCATATGGCAGGGGGCGGTCGGGTAGCCTAGTGGTTAAAGCGTTTGCTCGTCACCCCGAAGACCCGGGTTTGATTCCCGACGTGGCTACAATGTGTGTCCCCCGCCATGATATTGCTGGAATATTGCTAAAAGTATTGCTAAAAGCAAGGTAAAATCAAACTCACTCACTCACACACCCATATGGCAGGTATTGTGCACTATTTATAGCACAATCTGACACCAATTCACAATACTGCCATTTGGCTGCTACACCTTGAGTAAACATTACAGACAGTGAACAAACAACTCTCACAAATCATATAGAGTTTTTAAGCTACCATACAATACCATTGTTAATTGTGTTTTGTTTGGGCCTATAGGGCCTTCATATGAACATGTGGAATAAAGTATTCATTAATATACTGAGTTTTGAAGCCAAATACAGTTCACATTGGTACCTTCTTTGTTCGAATACGATCAGCAATCTCCACTGCACTCAAGAGCAGTACTTCATCAGTGACTGGTGAGACGGTCGTGGCTGGGTACCACCAGGTTAATATCGCAGAGAGAGGGGGCTGAAGGAGCATCTGGAGGAGAAGGAACAGACATCTCACTGCCTGCCGGAGCAGCCTCACTAGCGGCTGCATTCTGTAGCTGAAACAACCAACACCATCATTGTATATCTGTCTACATCATACAACCAATTAAACACATTCATTGTATAGATAAATTAAATATAGACTACTAAATGAGCTCCCAAGTAATACCAATCTTATTCAACGAGTGATGTTTGTTTGTTTGTTGTTTAACGCCGCACTCAGCAATATTCAAGGTCTATGACGGCAGACTGTAAAATAATCGAGTCTGGACCAGACAATCCAGTGATTAATATCATGAGCATCGATCCACGCAATTGGGATCGATGACATGCATCAAACCAAGTCAGCGAGACTGACCACCCGATCCCGTTAGTCGCCTCTTACGACAAGCATAGTCACCTTTTACGGCAAGCATGGGTTGCTGAAGACCTATTTTACCCGGAATCTCGAGTGAATAGTCATAGTATCTGACGAGCGAAATCAGACATCCTCTTGATCCACCGCATAATCCAACTGAGTTTTAACAGAATAATAGTTCAAACACATTAAAAGTTGACAGGTATTACTATTAATTAAATAACATACAATGGCTTTCCTTAGTTTAGGGTCCAGGCCCGGCCACAATGATAGGTATCGTAGTGCTAAGGTGTTTGTAACTCCCATATTTTAACATAGATTTACAACTGTCGCTACGCTACAATCACTTTGTGGAACGGGACCCTGCACTACAAGTTTACAAACATGTCACAGTTAACTTTGTCGTAATTTGCCTAATTGTGTTGCAATTTAAGCTACTCTTCCGAAACAATGCCCAGTTCCATTCACAACCATCAATTGGATTTCTGTTCCTATGGCAACGCTACATAAATATGTCCACTAATTCAGAAGATAACGTGGACATTTTAAACACGCAGGCTGAGTATTTTTGTCATCACATCATAATACATTACACTGATAATAGCAAATGTCATCACCTGAAAACTGCAATCACGGAGGTATTCACGGAAGTGTTACAGGTTAAGCTCCGCACACCATTCGGCTTTACTTTTAATATAACAGGTTTGCAGATTTATCCCTGCAAAGAGCTCTCTCGTAAGACAATGAAGGATAAAATCGAGATTTTGATCATTGATATGTTCCTCTTGAAATACATTTCACCGTCTATCAGCAGGAGGCAATCGTAGACACATCAATTGTTGCAACAATATGTTGTCTACATGTAAATGCATGCCCGAAGAAGGCAGGAATCGCGACACGCGTCTATAAATAGAATGTCGGGTTTCCGATTGTAATAATAGTAACGCCTGTTGTTAAGCTGGGCCCCGTCTCTAATATCACAATATAGGCGCAAGTTGACGACGCGCATAGGGAGCCGGGAACCAGCTTAGCGAGTGACGGGGCCCAGCTTTGTGTGAGCGGTCTCAGACGGACGATTTAGACTGAGCTTCTGTCTAGTATATTCTGTAAACGCGTCCGCGTTTTCCAACAACAGTATCAGTTTAGAATATCATAGTATATTCTGCAAAAACATAATATTAAGCAACTTATATAACTAGTGGAAGAAAAGAACGCCTAATTGATTTACAAGATATCTACAACGCAGGAACTTAATTCGTTGTAAATGTTCTTATCAAAATTGCATGACGGAGAAAGCCGAGAAACTGTGATTGTCTGAGGCTAAGCCAATCAAATCAATGGGGTCGTTCGTTGGGGATTCCCCAAAACAAAATTCCCTCATATGTTTTACGTTTTAGAAATCACCGGTTTACACAGATATCTTCGAATCTTTGAAATGACACTAACCGTGCCGTAAGGAATACACTCGTGAAGTAACCAGAAAGAATGTAAGTACAGAAATATGTTGGCAAACTGACTCAGGTGTACGGGACTCAAGCACCCCTTACACCACTTTGAGTCCAATTGACATTTGTAATTTGACAGGACATGAACGTGTGGATGGAGTCGTTCGACACAGATGTTACTCATTATGTTTTCGTTGTTTCGCTTGTGGATGAACATATTCACTGTGTACAATTAAACCGATCAAAATATACACCAAACATGTCCCAGAGTCGACTTTATGGTGGTTAGTGGTGAATATTAGGAAAGGATATAAACCGGAAGAACAAAAACTTTTTGTCTTTTCTCAAAGACGTATTATGTACACGTTTTTGGTTTTCTTTCCTTTTTTTCACATTTTTCCACAATCAATAACAAATATATGCATGGTAGGAAGTATGATAACTAGAAGATGGACATTTGTTTGATGTGATGATGACAACCATTGTCATTACGAACCCCAAAACCCAGGGGCATTCCAGATGGGTAAGCACAGAGTTGGGGTATGGCAAGCATTAGTCCCTTCCAACCTATTCTGGTTAAAAGTGGTAACTAAATGGATCGAACTCATGCTCAGTGACTTGGGTGATTGCATTACTTCGTACTTGACGGCATGGGATCGTTGCTCATGATTTCAATCACTGGCTTGTCTGGTCCAAATTCATAGCTGGACTAGCTATTGCGAAGTTCTGCATTAAAGAACAAACAAACAAACAAACATGTCTGAAGCTGGCCTAAATGGGTTTTTTTTAAGGTAATAACATGATATGACATTAGTTTAATCCATGGTCTTATATTTTTTATGTAATACATTTAATGTAGGCCTTTATATATTCTCATCAATAATTGGCAAATATGGTTGCCAAAGAGAAAATGAAACTGTCTGTATCCAATAATAGAACCACAAGGTGGAAATACCACTGCCTGATGGGGAGTTGTTTGTAACTCTTACCACTTTATGTAATACGTCTTGGGCCATCACTTTATGTAATACATCTTTGGCCATCTCTTGGGGATCCGTGAAGATTCCGGGGTAGAATAGGTCTTCAGCAACCCATGCATGCTGTAAAAGGTGACTATGCTCGTCGTAAGAGGCGACTAACAGGATCGGGTGGTCAGGCTCGCTGACTTAGTTTGATGCATGTCATCGATCCCATTTGAGTGGATCAATGCTCATGATATTAATCACTGGATTGTCTGGTCCGGACGCAATTATTTTACAGACCGCTGTCATATAGCTGGAATATTGCTGAGTGCAGCGACAAACAACAAACCAACCAACCAACCATCACTTGGGCCACTATTTTATTTTATGGTTTATCGATTATAATTAACAAATTTGCATGGGTAAGTCGAAATAAAAGTAAACAGTATGTTTCTAGTTTTTATCTTTATTTGGAATTAATTTATAGGTCTGTCAAACTGGTTACTATGATGTTGCGGGGGCACGGGGCTGTGCAGAGTTGCGTCCCTTAGGCATGCCAGAAACCTATGATTGTGGGTTCTAATCCCGGTTCTCCCCAATTAAGTTTCTAGGTTTGTCAGCACCATACCCGTGCTCGTGGGTTTCACCGAAGTGGTAAACGTCTGAGACCTGCCTCACTTCAGGCTTTCCTCCCACATTAAGCTGACACGCCGTGATATAACTGGAATACTGTAAAAAGCGGCGTAAACCCAACTCACTCACTCACTCACTCAATATAAAAGCGACTTGAAACACATACTAATATCAACATTAATCATCACCAAATGTCTTTCATAGGTATCAGAGAAAGTCATCAGCAGTCATAAATACATAATCAAGGGCAGGTCCTTGAACTTTTAAGGGATTGATTTCACAGAAGTAGTCACAGCTGCTGCAGTACAAACATCCTGGTCCATCATCTGTTGCTACTGGCCCACTCTCCTAACCCAGGCTGTCATTCACTTCTATACTCATGATAATTGTTAGGTCAGAAACTGAAATTCACTTCTATACTCATGATAATAGATCTCAAACTGACATTCATTTCTATTATCATGATAATGGGATATGAGCATAACACAGTTATACAAGGAAATAAATAACATTAGAAATCATATGTATGTTGTTTAACACTGCACACAGCAATATACAGGCTATATAATCACATGATAATGGCAGTCTGTAAATAATAGACAGTCTGGGCCTGACAATCCAGTGATTGACACTATAAGCATCAATCTACGCAATTGAGATATGATGACATACATCAACCAAGTCAGCGAGCCTGACCACCCGATCCCGTTAGTTTCCTCTCAGGACAGGCATGGGTTGCTGTCAGAAGATCAATTCTAACCCGGATCTTCACAGATCATTAGAAATTAAGATCAGTCTGTGACATATGGCTTCATAAAAATATAATTTTGCCCACTTACATCAATTTCTGCATGAATCATTTTGAATTCTCAATAAGTCGTATTAAGTGGTATGTACCAATTCATATGTTGTGAGATGTTTTATATATTATGATCATCGATAATTGTTTACATTTCTTTGGAATTTTGCAATTAAACATCGGTAACTTTGACGAAGCTAATATGGATAAGATAATTATTGGGATACAATTTTGTATTTCTCCTCGAGAATAGGGGCACGGGTGGCCCAGTCATCCAAGGCACCGCAATATGCTGTGCAGAGTTGTGTCCCTTGGCCACGCAAGAAATCTATGATTGTGGGTTGGAATCTCGGTTTGCCCTGATTATGTTTCTAGGTTTGTCAGCACCATATCCGTGCTATCGGGTTTCACCAAAGTGGTAAACATCTAAGACCTGCATCACTTCGGGCTTTCCTCCCACATCAATCTGGTACACCGAGATATAACTGGAATACTGTTCAAAGTATTCAAACCCTACTCACTCACTTACTCACTCCTCAAGAATAATTGAGTTTATCATGTTTATTAAACTGAAATTATTTCTTGACAACTACTGCCGTCTCAGAAAAACACAATTGTCGAATGTCAACAATCTTCAGCTATGACATCAGTTTCTAGTGTTTTGTCATTTTGTTCTTGACTGCCTCCGTGGTCTAGTGGTAGAGCGTCCGCCTGAAGAGCGGAAGGTCTGGGGTTCGATTCCCGGCCATGTCTTACTGAAAGATGTTAAAAGATGGTACTTGTTGTTACCCTGTCTGGCGCACGGCATTAAGGGGCTAAAACAAGGACTGGTCGGCTCGGAGTCAGTATACTGTGTCTGAGTGGGGTATTCATGTTAAACTGCGGCATTGTATCTCAGTGAGCTAGCACTATAAATGGGCATCAGTCCGGACTAGTACAAGCAGTCACACAAACACACACACGAACATGCACATCGGGATATAAGTGCAATAATTTTGGACGCGACTTTAAACCCCATTTCACCCCACCTCATTTTGTTCTTACATAACAATAAGATTCGAATGATGACCACAATGCCTTCTGGATGACGTGAGGGAAGTGATATTTGGACTAGTACACATATGATTTTCATGAACAATCAAATTACGACAACATTAGGCTGTCATGGCCTTACCTGCATTAGGCCTTGAAATGTGTCGTAAATTGAGGCTTAATAAAATAAAAGAATTGGTTCTCAGGCAATGGTATTTGAAAATGTAGTGCGGGCAGGCAGTGTCTTTTTTGGGGTGTGAGGGGTGTGTGGGCTGGGTGTGTGTGTGTTAGTGTGTGTTCAAACTAGTATGTAACCAAATAAACAGTTGTGTAACCAAATAAAATGATGTGTACAATCAAAGACGTATAACGTCTTTGGTACAGTCAACCTGGGAAAGGGCCTCGCTACATAAATGTATTCCTTGATGAGTAAAATACTCGAATACAGTATCTGACTGCTGTTGGACTTATTTGTTGGAATATTTAAGGATTTTTTTTTTTTTTTTTAAAATGGAAGTAAAAACCAAACGTGCAACTTTGTGATGATGCGGGCAATGCCTGAGAACCAAGATTATTATTTTTTTTAGCCTAATAATACACCTGAAATACTGCTGAGTGCGGTGTTAAACAGCAAACAAACAAACAAAATCCTAGTAATACTTAAAAGCTAACAATGTCTTCCGACTATGAAGTGTAATTCTATGTGCAGACATGATCATTGTGATCTCATCTATAGACAGGTAAACCGTTAACGTGGTTGAGAATAAGAAATGTCTCCTCGCCCAACCAGTTGACAGCATACCTCCTCTTCTGGTGCCTTGAATTTTTCAAGTGTTTTTAAATACTGATGGTGTTTATAAAGATAAGCTGTAATATTTTAACATAGACTAGCTGATGACCTGCATAACATTGTACTGATTATGAAATATATCATCTTGCAATTATCATGATCATCATTAAACATGTCCCAAATGTCTCAACTCACAGAAATCAGAAACCGAAATGAGTGACAACAATCCGCTGACCCGTAAGAGGAGAATGGAGGAGTTTATCAACAGCAAGATTGACTACAACGGCACAGTCACCATCACCTTTCAGCAGGACTTCGCCTTCTACTCCCAGGTTTTGCCAGCACCCTCACAGCGCCAGGCAGCTGACCTACGAGTCCTGGACACTGACATGCACCACGACCTGCAGCAGACCAGAGTGCTCAACTGGTGTCGAACAGCAGATCCTGTGTTCCCCCTGCAGACTAAGAGTGAGTACACCCCACGTTTTGTACACCTATGGTCTGCATTAGACCTGACTACACAACTGGTGTCGAACCCAGATCCTGTGTTCCCCCTGCAGACTAAGAGTGAGTACACCCCACATTTTGTACACCTATGGTCTGCATTAGACCTGAGTACACAACTGGTGTCGAACCCAGATCCTGTGTTCCCCCTGCAGACTAAGAGTGAGTACACCCTACGTTTTGTACACTTATGGTCTGCATTAGACCTAAGTACACAACTGGTGTCGAAACCCAGACCCTGTGTTCCCCCTGCAGACTAAGAGTGAGTACACCCTACGTTTTGTACACCTATGGTCTGCATTAGACCTGACTACACAGCTGGTGATGAACCCAGACCCTGTGTTCCCTCTGCAGACTAAGAGTGAGTACAGCCAATGTTTGGTACACCTATGGTCTGCATTAGACCGAGTACACAACTGGTGTCGAACCCAGACCCTGTGTTCCCTCTGCAGACTAAGAGTGAGTACACATGGTTAGTGTATCAAATGGAAAATTGATACCTCATTTAAACCAATCAGAATCAAGCATTCTTCAATGTCATGGTAGAAATTGTTATCAATCTTACATTTAGGACCAATACTGAGTGAGTTGTGTTTAACGCCGCTTTTAACAGTATTCCAGTTATATCCCGGCCTGTCAGCTTAATGTGGGAGGAAAGCCCGAAGTGATGCAGGTCTCTGACGTTTACCACTTCGGTGAAACCTACGAGTACGGTTATGGTGCTGACAAACCCAGAAACATAATCAGGGCGAACCAGGATTCGAACCCACAATCATAGGTTTCTGGCCCAAGGGACTCAACTCTGCACAGCGAATCACGACACTTAGACGACTGGGCTAACCGTGCCCCCTTTAGGACCAATAAGAAAAATGTAGACAAATGCTGTCAACATTTCAGGTGATGGCAACTGCCTGTGTCATGCCGTCTCCTCCTTCATCTGGGGCTTGGCTGATGACAACCTCACGCTTAGGAAGCTCATTAACATTGCTGTGGACACCGAGAGCAACAAACGGAGATGGCGGACCCAGTACGAGAGGCAGACGGACACGGCAAGAGACAGTATGAGACTGAATGGAAACGTAAGAGTGACCATTTTTCAGTTTGCTTAGACATGCAACTTACCTTCTCTGAACTAGAATTATTGAGTCTTTGAAAGGTCTTTAAAAGGGATACACATAAGGAAGAGAATTTAATTATGTCAACTTCCTTATTTCTGAGGGACACAACGTTTCGGAGTATATGCTTACTCCGGCATCAGGTTAAGAAGTAATCATATTCTCTGAAATGTTGTTCCTCATAATAATGAAGTTGACATCCATAAATTCTCTTCCTTAGAATTATTTAGGACATAGAATCCACTATATCCATATTTTAATGCTGTTCATGAAGTTCATATTACAGCGACAGTAGCTAACATTTTTATTCCACTCGTCCTTATAATGATAACATATAGCAACACCCTTAAAAATGGCAAAATTCTACTGGATACCTTAACTACTGGGCAGTTTGGCAAGGACTACAGGACTAGTGCCAATTTCTGATGCTTTATTATATTTATAAAACATGTTATTGTTGACATGGTGACCTTGTTGGCTCCAGAACGTGGTTTTCTATAAAGAAGATCATCATCACTACATCTGTGTTATAAGATGTTGGTAATAAAGAGATAACAACATATCTCTGTGTATCCTACTGATTGTATGAAATTTGTATCTAAATTCATCTATTCCCTCCTTGAAATACAAACATTCAGGGCCCAATTCCACAAAGTGATCGTAGTGCAACGACAGTCAAAGGCTATGTTAAAGTAAGGTAGTAATATTCCCCTTTGCACTACAATAGCTTTAGAATGGACTCCTGGTACTAAATTAGAGACAACTCACCTTCCATAAATTCTATTTATTTCCTATCTTAAACTGGTGATGAACTGGACAAATTTTGAGTGACCTACATTCTAGGTCAGACCTAGTCACTGCTGGTTGTTCAGTCATCTAGTCGTAGCAGTCATTGGATGCATTTATCCTGCTTATTGATGTAGTATTTAAGCCTTAGTTTCTATCACATTCAGTAAGATTTGGTCTTCTTGATTTAATAATATTCATCTACATTTCATGAAGTTTTTGATTTTGGAGTCAGGTTGATTTTGATCATCACCCTGAAGGTAGCGTTTGTTTTTTAAAATGTCCGGTCAGAAAAATTTAAATGTCCGGTAAGCAATATTTTAAACCGGACATTTGAGATTCCCAATCGGACATGTCCGGCGCATATGACCGTTTTCCGACCCCTGTTTTGATGCTATGGAAATACCAGACCACTAACACCTTGGTTTATATTGGCACAGTTTCATGAAGATAACAGTAGTATGTTGTTGATTTTATCCCAGTACTGCTATTAATATTGATCAATCCTGTTTCCTTAGAAAAAAGACATATGTTGGGAAAATTCCAAATTGCCACGAGAGAAAGGTAAAGCAATAACAGCCAATTATTGAATGAAGTTTCGTGATATCTAAGGCATATTATATGAACAGCATGTCTTAAAGCTTTGTTTTGTGTTATCTTTTGAGACATAGTCATGATATATTAGAAGCAGAACTTTGGGCCCCTTTTTGAGACAAAAATGTTTCATTGTTTCACAACAGTTGTATGTTCAGATTGACTTCATATGGTGAAAAATATGTGCCGGACATGTCCGATTTGGAATAACATAGTACCTAATGATTTCTCGTAACATTTTTTATACTGTCCATGCAGAGGTATTATGTACAACCGGCTGCTGTTGTTTTGGCAGGATTGGGAACGGGAATGGAAGACAGTCGTCATGACAGCAGCACCTACACGGAACATGATGGGAGTTGTTCCGTACTCTCACCTTGAAGCTATCCATATCTTCACTCTGGCCAAAATACTGAGGCGTCCCATCATAGTACTTGCAGATGTCACAGCCCGTACCCTGTCTGGAGCCAGTCTGCAGGAGAGTGACATTGGTGGCATCTACCTTCCCCTGGACTGGCCGGTGGAGAAGTGTTCCAAGTACCCTGTAGTGCTGGCCTACAACCTGAACCACTTCTGCCCACTCCTGCCACAGAACGCCACCAGCTCGGAGAAGGTCCTCTTCACAGTACCCATTGTGACTCATGACAAGTCTTCTCTGCCCATCAGATTCCTTTCAGAGGAGGAAGAGAAGAATGCAGCGCGGATTCTTAAGTCATACTTGAAAGTAAAAGAGATAGGCGTATCCACAACTGAGTCCATGTCACTTGTGCTGTGCACAGATATAAAATATGTACCTCTACCAGATCACCTGAGGGTGTTTGAGCAAAAAGTTCTGAGTGTGCCAAAGAGCTCTTACAGTCCCAGGGCTGGAGTTGCTGCAGCCAGCTTTGATATGGCGCTATGCATCAGCCCAGGTTGCAAGTTCTATGGTTCCCCAGCAACAGGTAACATGTGCTCAGAGTGCGTGGAGAAGTATCTTCAGCAGACACCACCCCAGCCTCTTGCAGAGCCTACAGCTCCTCCCGCCTCCATGCCTGTCGCTGCAGAGTACATTGATATGTCTATGATGGGTGAGACTTGTACTGGAGGCTGTGGATATAGGTGCTCTGTCAACACATATCCTTATTGCCATGAGTGCGCAGAGAAAAGGAGAACCCAGGTGTCAGGCTCCGTAGTTCATCCCAGTCCTACTGACATCTCTGAGACAGGACCGAACGCCATCTCTTACCAAGAACCTGGAGAATTTTCTGAAGCAGGACCTACTGCCATCTCTGGACAGGGATTGGGCACCATCTCTCAAACAAGACCCGGTGCCACCTCTCAACCACGACCAAGTGCAACCTCTCAACCACGACCTAGTGCCACCTCTCGGCCACGACCTAGTGCCACCTCTCATTCAACCATGTCCACTGAGGATTATCTATTTGGTGCTGGAGGTGGTTCACAGCAGGGATTCGAGCGACCTGGAATGTCATCCTGTATAATGGAAGGATGTCTTCAGCAGGGAAAAGCAAACCTTGGTGGACGATGCGACAAGTGTTACATGGGAGAGGAGGGGCTGAAGCATATCTGCAGCACTCCAGGCTGCATTGGACCCCGAGTCCATGATGGATTCTGTCAGCAGTGTAGGTCAAACCAAACTGCTGTCCATCGTCCACCAACAAGTGGATCAGGAGAAGGTAGCCCGGGAAGGATAAACCAGCAGTCAACTGGACTGGCAGACAGACAAGAATCAGAATCAAGTGAACAGGAAGGTAACCTCAGTTTAATGGAATCTGGGTCCAAGTGTAACGCTGAGAGTGTGAAACTAATGGTCCTGAAAGGGCCTGAAGATAAGATTGCATGTGCGAGCCCAATGTGTAACACACTCATCTATCCTCCAAACAAACTGTGCCAGAACTGCATTGACATACTGCGGCAAAGCCAGGCACTTCAGCAGCAGCAGCAGCAGCAGCAGCAGCAGCGCTCACACTTAGAACAACTCCAGCCGACCGTGGTGTCTTTGAAGCAAGAACTGCCAGGATCAGCCAGAAGTTCAGGTGAGTGGACAGGTGCAGTGGCATGTGCTCAACAGGGTTAGTCGTAAAAACTAGTCCAGTGGACAGTTGCCACAGGTGCAGGGACATGTGCTCAACAGGGTTTGTCTTACACACTAGTCCAGTGGACAGTTGCCACAGGTACAGGGGCATGTGCTCAACAGGGTTTTCTTACACCCTAGTTCAGTTGACAGTTGCCACAGGTACAGGGGCATGTGCTCAACAGGATTTTCTTACACACTAGTCCAGTGGACAGTTGCCACAGGTACAGGGGCATGTGCTCAACAGGGTTTTCTTACACCCTAGTTCAGTTGACAGTTGCCACAGGTACAGGGGCATGTGCTCAACAGGATTTTCTTACACACTAGTCCAGTGGACAGTTGCCACAGGTACAGGGGCATGTGCTCAACAGGGTTTTCTTACACACTAGTCCAGTGGACAGTTGCCACAGGTACAGGGGCATGTGCTCCACAGGGTTTGTCTTACACACTAGTCCAGTGGACAGTTGCCACAGGTACAGGGGCATGTGCTCCACAGGGTTTGCCTAATTGGCCACACTTGTTGAAAATATGAAATATCATTGTCTCTATGTAACTAATGTCCGCAGACACTTTCTTTGTGTAATTATTGCCATGACACATTATAAGATTTATATACATCATATCATTTGAGTTTGGACAAAATTGTTTGAACTTACACTAAAGCTGCTGGGACTAACATTGGTCTAACCTCCATGTTTACTGAAGCAATAGAAATTATATTTTCATGACCAACAAGAGGCATATGTCAATTAGTGATATTTTGTGTCTTGCAGAAAGAAGTAACAACAGTGCCCCACATGCTGTCAGACAGCACATGGTGAAGGTTCCTCTGGCGGAGAGTCAGCGTCCCAACTCAGCACCAATAGGACGGAGGTGCCTCACACAAGGCTGTAGCAGGTTCGGTGACCCATCCACTTCTGGCAGATGCAGTGTCTGCTGGATGAAGTTCATCAACCCTATGACACATGGGTCAGTAGTGGCATCACCTGACCCCGAGATCAACGCTCTTGGTGGGGGTCAGCGAGAGGATCCATTCCAGGCTATGATGGCTCGGATAGTCAGTCAGAAGAGGAGTCCTAGCCATTGCAAAAAGTCGGGGTGTCCTAACTTTGGCAACCCCAGCAATGAAGGCTTCTGCAACAGCTGTTACCCATCCTACATCCAGGTGACAAATAATTTGTAAGTGATGTGAGGTGGGTTTATGCCACTTGTTGCAATATTCCCGCCTTGTCACAGCGGGGTATACAGGAATGGTATTCAGACCATTTTTACCCATGCAGGAACACAAAGCCCAAGTTTTGTTTGTTTGTTTGTTGTTTAACGCCGTACTCAGCAATATTCCAACTATATGACGGCAGTCTGTAAATAATCGAGTCTGGACCAGACAATCCAGCAATTTGGATTGATGACATGCATCAACCAAGTCAGCAAGTCTGACCACCCGATCCCGTAGTCGCCTCTTACGACAAGCATAGTTGCCTTTTACGGCAAGCATGGGTTGCTGAAGACCTATTCTCTACCCAGATCTTCACGGGTCAAAGCCCAAGTATTCATCATTACAAGCCAATGCTTTAACCATTGGGCAATGCCACTTCCCTTTTGTAGATAAGCAGGCACCCACAGGTATGTAAATGTTGATGGTCTGTGTTACTGTACCAGTTGTTATTTATTTTACCAACTGAAGAATCTGTTGTAGTTTGTTATGTATTGTCAATTCCTTTGTAAATTGAAGTTTCTGTGCAACTTGTTATCTTTAATACATTCATTTGATATGTTTAATGTTGTATTGACCACGTGTTGAACTGTATTAGATATATACCACTCAATATTAGCCCATGATTTTTCATTCAGAGAGACAGCCTGGATTGATTTGCCACCATGGCTTCCTTTTCATGAATAGTTCAAGTGACGCTTAAAAATAGTTGTCCAATCAAATTACCGTTCTTTCACGACTGAAATTGAGACATCATAAGCAGCTCGCCTTCTTGTGTACCATCTCCTGTACAACTACTATCAGCATAACAATGTCCCTCCCCTATGTAAATACACAGGAATTTTTTTGTTTTAAGTCATCTAAGACTATTAATTGTAGCGAATACTCGCTTGTACGATGCCACAGTTTTAAAATTAGATCTGTGCTGGACTAATTCAAACAGCATCATTTTGATTCGTTGACTTGAAGATAACAGAGATGAGGATGGTGTATACACTAGATAATTGAGGGTATCAGCCTTGAACAACTGATAAATCTCAAATGACGTAAAACTTTAGAAAAAAAAGAAAAAGTGTTTATATAATAGAACTTGTATTATTTTTTTCTTTCCACCCATTTCAGTTTTCAACTCTTCACATATGTTGGGTGCAAAGGTTTTAGTTATTATTATCATTTTGGTTGAACAAATAAGTATTATTATTGAAAATGTTTTAGAAAAGCTACTAATTGTTAGTCATCTGCACTCACTCTGTACATTTTATTTCCCAGACTAAACAAATTATCAAACCTATGGCCAAAAAACTTCCTTTAGGCCATCAATATTTAAGTATTTGATTTTCATCCCTCTCACTTCACTACCGTCCCCAACTCTTCATTGTATTGTACCCATGTTGCAGACCAAGGAAAATTGCTAAATTTACTCTCTTCTTTGTATAGTCGAGGTATTGTTCCCAGATGGTGTGACTAGTTTGTTTCAAAAATATATATAAAATGTATAACGCCTTTCCTCACAACTTTTTAAAAATCTTATTACATCAATTTATGGTAGCCTTAATGTATCTCTATGTTTCAAATTACACAAAACATGTTTGATTGATGGCATAGGATCTCCTTGAATATTTACAAGACAAACTCTGTGATCATTAGCCACACTGGGTAATCGTTTGACATAATGGGTGATCAGCAGACAAATATTCACAAACCTCAGCTCAGCACTTTTTGCAGGAAAAGGAACATGTAACAATTGGTGATTCAGTGTATTGAAACAATACCCATGGGGGTACCTACATGTAGCTATACATATAGTACATGTTAATACCATATCAATGTGGTTGCATACAAAACTGTATGTCATACTGATCTTGTAGGTGAAATGATTTATTGTCATCTTTGTACTTGCATTTGTCTTATTGTCAGTCATCATTTACGTGTGCTAATGAATAAATATCTTTCACGTTAACAATATTTCCTGATTTTTTTTATAATTGTAAAATACTATTTAGAGCTGCGTGTTTTACTGTTGTTTGCTCATATTGCTCAGTCATGCATACATCTGTGTTGGGCGGTCGGGTAGCCTAGTGGTTAAAGTGTTAAAGACCCAGGGTCAATTCCCAAAATGAGTACAAAGTGTGAAGTCCATTTCTGGTGTCCCCTGCCGTGATTTTGCTGGAATGTTGCTGAAAGCGGCGTAAAACCATACTCACCCACTCACTCCCATACATCTGTGTGTCAGCACTGAAGATCACTACACAGCACTGGGAGATACCAGACAGATTAACTAGCCATCGCAAAGCTTCAAAGATTCCAAGGATTTAGAAGTTCAGCATATTATTAAGTGTGTTTGGGTTGACAAGTACAGCTGAGATGAATCCAAGATGTTGAAAAGTGTGTGGTGACTGTGTGTCACACACAAACTCACAGGTTGACATGTAAAGTGTACAGCAAGCCCTGCCTTCCCATCTTCGGCCCACTTGCACAAAGCGATCTGGGGGCATGGGTGGCCCAGTCCTCTAAGGCGCTGTGATTCGATGTGCAGAGTTGCATCCCTTGGGCACGCCAGAAACCTATGATTGTGGGTTCGAATCCCTGTTCGCCCCGATAATGTTTCTAGGTTTGTCAGCACCATACCCGTGCTCATGGGTTTCAGCGAAGTGGTAAACGTCTGAGACCTGCATCACTTCAGGCTTTCCTCCCACATTAAGCTGACTCGCTGTGTTATAACTGAAATAATGTTAAAAGCGGCGTTAAACCTAACTCACTCACTCACTCACTCACAAAGCCATCTTAGGGCTAAGACTATCGTAAGCCTATGTTAAAGTATGGGAGTTACGATCAGCTTAGCGCTACAATCGCTTGTGCAAGTGGGTCTTGGTCTTTGACAGTCTGACCAAGGTTCATAGCAATTCTATGATTCAAACCCACCACAGCGGTTCCTGTCATGGCAAAGGGTTGCAGATGTGACCCCTCCATATTGATTGAATCACTCATAAACCACAGTGTGTATACACGTGGAATATGTTTGTTTGTTTGTTGTTTAACGCCGCACTCGGCAATATTCCAGCTATATGACGGCAGTCTGTAAATAATCGAGTCTGGACCAGACAATCCAGTGATTGAGATCATGAGCATCGATCCATGCGATTCGGATCGATGACATGCATCAACCAAGTCAGCAGGCCTGACCACCCGATCCCGTTAGTCGCCTTTTACGACAAGCATGGGTTCCTGAAGACCTATTCTACCCCGGATCTTCACGGGTCTGTGGAATATGTCCCGGACTTTGATCTCATTTTGATTAATGTCTAAAACACCACTGCTACCTGCTGAAAGGATATAGTATGTACAAAGACATGGCCCCGATTGTCCAAGTAGTTTCAGCATGTAAGTGGATAACTGAACATATAGTAGGTGGTGGTGAACTTTTCCCAAGGTGTATAGGTCTTCTTGATATTGAGATGTTTGAATCTTTGTCATGTGGTGACTATAATGAGGACTTTTCATGCCACCATACATTAGGCACACTTGGATAATTAAGCAGCGGTGGTGTTGTTTTAGATTTTGCCGTAATTTGACCACTGTTGACCTACCAGAGGTCAAGAAACTATTGATACATCATGTCTAAAGGTAAAGGACATCATAAAGATCATATCGCAAAATATAGTTTGTTTACAACCTAACTCAAGAAGGATAAACTGTATATCTGCAAGAGACTTGGTACATGTCTTTCTTCAGGTGGGGCCCAAGAAAAGATTGTGGTTGACCTACTATACAGTGAAGGTCACAGTGAGGGTCATTCACAAGGAATGTTTGCAAAAAGCCTATTCTGCAGATATTCTTAAAATCAAATGCATATTGTAGTTATATTAGACATTGAAAGTTCATTTCAAATGTCAAGGTCATTCTTATGGTCATAGCCTGAACAAAGTTTGTTTATTTCCTTACAAAAGAGTGAGTGAGTGAGTATGGTTATACGCCGCTTTTAGCAATATTCCAGCAATATCATGACGGGGGACACCAGAAATGGGCTTCACACATTGTACCCATGTCGGAATCGAAACCGGGTCCGGCGTAACGAGCGAACGCTTTAACCATTAGGCTACCCGACAGTCCCTCCTAACACAAGAAGGAATTATTGTCGTTCAATGGTATTTGTCAGGGGGCAGGGCGCAGGGCGCAGATTGGAAAAGGTTGTGAGTGACCAACATGTAAGGTCAGGGTTACAGTAAAGGTCATTTCATTTTCATTTAAATGCCTTGTGATAGAGTAGAAGATCAAAGTGACCTACTTTCAATTAATAGCATATGCTATATTTTTACATTGAATTCCAACTAAAGATGTCATATTTGGTTTGTATGCGGGTCAGCACTTTGGAATGCCCTTGTGAATGAGCTGACATTGAAGGCCAAATACGCTAAAAAAATGTATTATTTTCACAAGACATATATTACTGGCAGATTGTCAGTCCTTGAACTGATTATTGTTTTAGCAATTTAAGTTAAATAGGGTATTTTATTTCACGACAGCAGCCAAACTTGACAAAGTCTTGTCCACAACAAATGGACGACCCAGCGACCTCAACCGGGCCCTGTATTCATAAATACTAATCAGTGACACACCCCCCCCCCCCCCCCCCCCCCCTTTGCCAAACACCCTGATGCGGACACACCTTTGACCTGGCTAGAACACACATGTTAGCCACGGAGGGATGTCCAAAAAGGGAGTGAGAGAAGTCAGGTATATTCTTAGAACTCAGGGATATTCTTGGAATTAAATGACTAAAAGGATATATCCTGATGGTCACTGCTTTGATAACATGGGGGATTGCAGACGAGGTACTACTGGTCTGGAGGTATAACGTTATTCGGACCATGTACCAGATGTATTACTAAAACAATATAATTGTGAACCAGCAGAGCGGGGCAGTTGGGAGCTGAATTTCAGAGCTGCATTTTGTAACTGTAGTTCAATAAAATCGTTGTGGACCCACAGACAGACTTGTGTCGTATATAGAAGGAGTCAGAAAGAAATATCCCCCAGAACACAACCTTCTACGGCGGATACTTGCCTCCTTCAGACCTTCAGATAACTCTTTGCTTCTCTTTACCACAGTTCAGCTTGTGACTTGTGATGATTTACCTCCAGACCACTGGAAGGCGATTTGTTCTTATCAAGCTCGATGAACTTGGGGTATGGTACTGGAACATACTTCCTAAATTGGGCAAAGCAACTGGATTAGAATAAATACCAATCAACAACTATTGGAGCAATTGTGAAATCAGTCATTTCGGTATATGGTCTCTGGTTCGACATAACTGCTGAGCCTATGTCTGAGTGCTCTACAGAACAGCTTGTAGCTGGAGTTGGAAAGTAGGATGCCTCGACTGTGGAGGACGCTGATAATTCTCTGAAATCAGACAAATATGTTCGTGCGTGCGTGCGTGCGTGCGTGCGTGCGTGCGTGCCCGTTGGATGCCGAGTTATTTTTCTGACGCACATCTTAATTACGTCTTAAAAGTGAATGTTGTGCAAGAATTGCGCTCGAGCGGCACTGGATCTACCTCAAACTAATAATATTACGTAGAGATGTAGAATACTAAATTTCCTCTCTGATGGTGTTAATTTAACTGCAAATATATAACCGGTTTGAAAAAAAGACAAATAAGTGTTGTCCGAGATTTTGTTCGACGTTGGAAAACAACAAATATCTCCTTTTTTTATCGTACACCGATAAAAGTACTATGTGACGATTTTTTTAAATTTACCAGCTTACGGAAACTGTGAGCGAACAAAATACTGCCTAATGTCTGAACAACATAAATATATATCAAATGGATTGGTATGCATTTGTATAACGTTACACATTCAATACAAAAAATAGCTTGTCGTAAATGATAAAAACTGAATTTCTTCTATGACGTCAAAAGACGACTGATCCATTAATACAGCCGACTCGATTGTTAATCTTCCTTTGCGTTCTTTTCTGTATACCGCGGATGAAAAGCAGTTATCTAAAACATGTAATTGTAAATAAGCAAAATACAGAACTGTCTACGATTCTGTTCCGCCATACATTAACCAACTTGCAATTGTGTATTACCTTTAACAAATATATAGCCTTTACTCTCATTGTATCAGTAAAGCGAAAACTGATTGGACTGTCAAACCACTTCCTAAACATTGAACGAGGATTTGGACAGGTCACTAGTTGCATTATATATATATATATATATAGAATCCGAATTCTAAATTCTGTGTCAACACAAATGAAGTATGAAGATTTATCAACAATCAGGTTAGTGGTATTTTCAAATTAATTTTCGAGTTTTGGATTTTTGATGGATTCGGCGGATCACATGCTTGTTGTCCAACATGATATGGCTTAACTTAGATGCTAATGCATATGCCAAGTGTAGCAGGGCGTGGAGTATCCCGCAGATGAGATCCTTACCTTGTCAACTTGCTGACGCGGCTAACCTCACTGGTCATGTGGACAAGGCATTCGACATCGGATCAGAAGGTCCGTGGTTCGAACCTCGTCACCGGACACCGGATGTTATGGCCGCTACACAAGTGTGAAAAGGGAAATTCTTTGCATGGTCAGATAAATCATAGTCGAATTGGAGGTGTGTTTCTGACGGAGACGAGCGAAGCCATCTTGAATTCTGCCAATGTCTAGATCTATGATTCAAACATTATAATCATAAAAAACATGTTCAAAGATGAAAACAAGAGCAATGTTTGTAATTCATATCCATGTTCAAGAATAAATAGGTATGCGATCTTAAACCGAGTGTATTTTGTTGTCACAAACTGGTCATGTTCATGGGTATAGAGATCCTTACGGACTTGTGAATGAGTGGAAGGTTGTGCTGGCGTAATTTCTCATCAAATCAAAACACATAATCTTTTTTATTGCGCCAATCATATTACTGGAAAGTGATATTTTCTCAGTGCGAAATTGACAA